TATTGCTGCTTATCAAGTTTCTATACTGAAATCTACATATCGAGCTCTGTACACATTCACGTTGTTCTTTTTTCAGCTATGACTGCATTTTTCATCGTTAACAGTTTGTTAGTGTTCATGGAAACGATCACACCATGATTCGAGCGTGTTGTTTTCTGTTTAGTTATGCTGAAATTTATAACCGCGTCCTGCAGTAACTCGGATGAGTTCTGTAGAAAATTAGTTATCCCTGTTTAATTGTTAATCATGACCAGTACATATGCATATTTAAATCTGTGTAATTGTCAGCTTCACGCTGATTATAATACAATGACATGTCAGGTTATCGGGTAGGGTAATTAGATCGTACACTTATTTCCCAGCTGTACAATGTACAGTGTACATGTAATGAATATTAAGCCTGCTTATAACCCTCCTTATAAACTAGGCAAAGTAACTGCAGCCAGAATTTACCGATATTGACTGTTTCTGTCTCAGTGACTGTATAAGTGTAACATTAACTGTGACAGTTGCAGTATATGTATAAACGGTTGCAACTCAGGTACACGTGAATTATGTGACAGAATAATCACTGCTTAAAGTATCCGGCTCACAAATAACGTCATATTTGTCGTGACCTTTGTCGGTATATTGTGATCACCCAGACACTGCGATTCGTAAAGAATCGTGTACTGAATCGTATATAACTGCTCAGATCTGTATTTGAAGTGTAATGTCCAAATGTATAAAACTGTACTTGAAGTATGCTATTTCTATCTAAATGTATATGGAGCTGTACTCTAAATGTATAGACCTGTATTCTGAGTATTGTATCTAAATATCTATTCGAACGAGACAAATGAGGTAAATACCATTCTAATAATTCCGGTTGAGGGGTCTTATAGACTCAGTAGAGGGGTGAGGGGTCTATTGTAGTGTGTATTGAGGGGTGAGGGGTCTTTTGTAATGTACTCTTTTTGGATAACGTAATGATATTCACAGATTATAGTTGTTAGTTACTAGCAGGAGTTCTTTCTGATGATTTTTTCTGAATAGACTCAGTAATGACAATGTTCTAATGAAGATAATAGAACATTTCCATCACTGAGTCTATTCAGAAAAAATCAGACATTTTACTTGATAGAATCATCAAATGAGACTCAATAACACCACACGACTAAATCAGATTACTAGCAGAGGGGTTAGCCTTATTTTCACTGCCACAGCATTGACCAATATTATAAACCCTGAATAATTGTCACGTGTCACAACAAATATGGCTCACCTTCTCCGCTATGATAACCAAGCTTTATTATTTACTAAGCTTTACATAGCAGTACGTGCTTCTCTGGTTTGATAATAACAAGCTTTATTATACCATGCAATATAACTAATATCTGGATAGATAGTCGTAAGACAGATGTAATATCCGGATAGGAAAATTATTTATGAGTCATTTTCATTAGAAACGTTTATTATGCTGCACTGAGCCGTTAAAAAATTCTCGGTATATCATCTTTTAAACATCTTATTCTGGTGTGAAAATATTTAATAAAGTGTAGAAAATTCTCTAATATAACGAATCTACTCAATTACTCCTTTATGATACTCCTCAGTGATAATCTATAAATATGCACGTTTCTAAAGATATCACAATCTCAATAAACCAGACTGCATGGCTTTATTGATATAACGTGATATTAATAAATACCAGTTGGGGTTTCACTCCAGCAGAACATGAGTCTGCTCAGTCTGGTCAGTTTGCTCAGTTTGTATCAGACATGGAAGCTCCGTGCCATCCTCCCACTCCACATAATGGTACCTCTTGTTTCAATTACGATCTACTTAGTCCATAATGATAATATTCCATGCTCATAATTTGATTTATCACTATTCACATAGATCGGCTATAACATAGTGACATATACATAATACACAATAGGGTGTATATAACCAAGTGGTATTCTCAGATCAGCGCTTGTGTGAACTTGCTTGTTTTATCTTACTCAGTATCCTAACCATCATACCTATCTCTCTCTCTCCCTCTCTCTCTCCCTCTCTCTCTCCCTCTCTCTCTCTCTCTCTCTCTCTCTCTCTCTCTCTCTCTCTCTCTCTCTCTCTCTCTCTCTCTCTCTCTCTCTCTCTCTCTCTCTCTCTCTCTCTCTCTCTCTCTCTCTCTCTCTCTCTCTCTCTCTCTCTCTCTCTCTCTCTCTCTCTCTCTCTCTCTCTCTCTCTCTCTCTCTCTCTCTCTCTCTCTCTCTCTCTCTCTCTCTCTCTCTCTCTCTCTCTCTCTCTCTCTCTCTCTCTCTCTCTCTCTCTCTCTCTCTCTCTCTCTCTCTCTCTCTCTCTCTCTCTCTCTCTCTCTCTCTCTCTGTCTTACTCAGTATCCTAACCATCATACCCATCTCTCTTTGTTATCTGACAATGTGAAGCTATAACCTGGATTATCTATTCTCTGTGTTGAATCTGATAAACAGCAGCTCGACCCAGTCCGTGGACCAGTCTGCCAAATAAACGGGTGTGGGTTCACAGTTTTTTTTCCTCGGTCTGAAGACGCTTAAAAGACACATTTTATGAATAAAAATATTCGATAATTTCAACCCATGTCCAGTAACATACCGTGCAGTGTTAAACCTCCAGCTTGCAGACCAGGAAAACTTTGCATTCTTTAACAGTTTAGTATTAATTCTATATCACAAGTACAAGGTAAGGGGGAGCTGGCTCAGTATTACCTGTATATATATCTACGTCACCACCGGATTTACTCTTGTGGTCATCACATTACGTGTGTTGTGATCCCGGCTCCGTGTTGTGATTTACTCCGTAATTTTCTCTCAATCAGAGATCAAGTTCCTGATCGTTCCGTATCCCTCTGATCCCTCTCTCGCTTCCTTAATTGTTTGATATCTAATATTTTTCGCTTTCCAAAACCTTTTTCAAGAGTAATTATTACAGTTCGCAAAACACTGTCTCTGTCAACTTAATGGTGTCGAGAACTTTGGTAAGTTCAGATAATCAACAACCCATTTTCTAACGTATGTCGAGTGCTACATGTATTGTGAATTACAGCGACAAGGCGTACACTATCGCATTATATTACGGATTCTGCGAGGCTTTGACGTCACACCAGGACTCATACTAGGATTCTAAATTACCGTTTCTATATTCACACTCTTACACGGGGAGAGTTGGTACACTTCTTAACTTCCTTTACTTCTTAACTTCCTTTACTTCTTAACTTCCTTTACTTCTTAACTTCCTTTACTTCTTAACTTCCTTTACTTCTTAACTTCTTAACTTCCTTTACTTCTTAACTTCTTAACTTCTCAACTTCCTTTACTTCTTAACTTCTTAACTTCCTTTACTTCTTAACTTCTTAACTTCCTTTACTTCTTAACTTCCTTTACTTCCTTTACTTCTTAACTTCTTAACTTCCTTTACTTCTTAACTTCCTTTACTGGAGACCCGGAGTCCGGAACCCCCTCAAAAGTTCGGTCCCAGGCCCTAGTTTGTTCTAGGGCCTACCTCGAAATCAAATTTCAACATCAGGTTGAACCCCCCCCCCCCCGCCTTTTAACTTCCTTTCATCCATTTGCTGCATTAGTGTTCCTTTTAGCTGCCTTTATTTACTTTTAGTAGCACTTTCGGTTCTAATTCTCTCGCCCGATTTATTCGACTGCGTTATGCAGACTTTTTATTGACTTTCAGTAACTGATTACGTATTTGTTTCTATTTACTGAAATTTTACATTTATGTAAAATAAATAATAATTTATTATAAACACTTATACTTGTATTGCAGACTGATGTGTTAATATCATGAGCACTTCTTATTTGTTATTCAATTTTACTAAGACTTTTGGTTACACTTTTATTAGTTTTACAGGCTTACATCCCAATATCATAGTCCTAATAATTTTGTCATTCGGTTAAAAGTCTGAAAAGTTATCAGCTCTTACATGACACACGTTTTACCTATTTATTACAGTGATTCGGCCACATTGCACAATGCGCCACATGATACGCACAATGCGCCACATGATACGCACAATGCGCCACATGATACGCACAATGCGCCACATTCGCACATCACACCACATAAATCATGTCTAGAAAGTAGAAAGCCAGTTTGGTGACCTGATCATCAACTTACATGGTGTTACATTACAATTTGCATAACCCTACCTCACGCACACACACTGACAAAGTCTACAGCAGCAACCACACACACAGTCACGGCTACAACGCAGCATCTTATGTCATCAGTTACATGTCTTTTAATTTCGTTAGATTTCTCTTAATTCGGTTACACACGTACATTGAGAACCACCTCCGCTGGTTGAATTTCTCATATTTCACGTTCTTTAGTAAGTTAAGGCGTTAATTCTACAATCATAATAATTTCCATCTGTTTGGACTAATTTGAGCGTATTTATAGACTAATTTAAGCGTATCTAGACTTATCTGAACCTATTTGAGCTCATTAAGACTAATTTGTTGCTTCAATATCAATCCAGTTACCTGTCACCAGCTTATGTACACTGTGTAAACTCTAATACAATAAGTCAGTTTAATCAATCAGACCTACAAGTAATTAGTCTTAGGTATAAATAAGCCTTACTTCCCCACCTATACTTCATATTAACATCTCCACCTTACATTCCAAACAGTTCAACACCAAACAGTTCAACACCACACTCAAAACTAAACTCAACACCACACTCTCAACACTAAACTCTCAACACTAAACTCTCAACACCACACTCTCGACACCACACTATCAACACCACACTCTCAACACCACACTCTCAACACCACACTCTCAACACCACACTCTCAACACCACACTCTCAACACCACACTATCAACACTAAACTCTCAACACCACACTCTCAACACCACACTCTCAACACCACACTCTCAACACCACACTCTCAACACCACACTCTCAACACCACACTCTCAACACCACACTCTCAACACTAAACTCTCAACACCACACTCTCAACACTAAACTCTCAGCACCACACTCAACACCACACTCTCAACACCACACTCTCAACACTAAACTCTCAACACCACACTCTCAACACTAAACTCTCAACACCACACTCTCAACACCACACTCTCAACACCACACTCTCAACACCACACTATCAACACCACACTATCAACACCACACTCTCAACACCACACTCTCAACACCACACTCTCAACACTAAACTCTCAACACCACACTCTCAACACTAAACTCTCAGCACCACACTATCAACACTAAACTCTCAACACTAAACTCTCAGCACCACACTATCAACACTAAACTCTCAACACTAAACTCTCAGCACCACACTCTCAACACCACACCACGTGATCAAAACCATGACCTCACCATCAAAACCGCTACCTAGAACCACACTATGGCAGTTGAAGACGAGCTGGGCACGAGCGATGAGATCAAAGAGTTTAAGCACGAGGGAGAGCTTGACAGTCAGAAGGACTCACTAGCTGACATCAAACAGGCCCTGGCCATGTCTGCTGACAAACCCCCACTAGCCGCCGCTCTCGACGTAAGTAACCTGGTTTGTAAGTGGTTTGACGCGCGTGCACGTGTGTAAGGTAGTTGGGTAGTAGTAAGGGTTTAAAGTGGAGTTTCTTTGAACTTATTTTTCGGGATCGGCTGATTTTCTTTGAACTTTTTTTAGAGAAGAGCTTTTCTTTGAGCTTGGGCTCGGATTGCTTAATCGTGGAACTAGGACGAGCTGAGAAATGTTTGATTTTCATCGGAATGGTAATTTATTCTGCAAAATCGGGGAAACTTTGAAAGCTCTCAGTTCAAAGGAAACGGCCGTTTAATTAAACAATTTCTTTTGAGACAGCAATTCCTTTGATATCCCTTCGTAAGACAGATTATAACGAATACCAAGCACCCTGACACCCCTCCGCAAGCTTCTCAAACAAAGTATAAAATATGAAGTGTAAACCTTAAAAACATTACATTACTACAAACCTACTTCCTGGTTTGATGTATTAACACTGCTGTAGAACTACACGTGTGTAGAAATAGCACACGTACGAATACCACGCATGTGTGTATGAAGACCTCTATCTGACACTTGACAGTGACAGTGTATACCGGCTGCTTTGTCAATATGTCCATGTGAAATTTCCAACCTCGTTAGCATCATTAACCTCATTAACCTCATCGAACTCATTAACCTCATCAACTCTACTGTGTGGACCCTATAATTCCGGCCACTGAGCCTGATTTAAAATGCTCCACTGTTTCAGTTAGATTCACGCGTGGAAAGGAGGCAAATTTCGCATATGAAAAAAAATATGTGAAAAGATCCCAACAAGAATTGCGCCCGTTATTTCGTTTTGGCGGACGCTAGATTTCCATTTCACATTTACTATAAATTTAAGTATAAGCTCCAATCAGCTCACTTCAATCTTCATGATAATGATATTGACAAATTATGCATCAATTACGGGAAACACTTGAAATTCAGTTCAATTGCCGTAGAACTTAACTTGTATCTGTAATTCAAGAAATTATCAGCAAAGGTAAACTATATTCGTGTACACATCAATATACTACGCGTGCCACGTACAAATTGGGCGTATTACCTAATAATAATATTATACATTACATGCATCATATACATTAAAACACAGTCGTGCCGCGCATTCGTAGATCACAGGCTATCTATACATCACATCTCCGCAAGCAATCCTCGCGCGCGCGCAGCTTTTTCGTTGCATGGTAACGGACGGAATGACATCATATTCAGACCCGCCTATCGCGATCTCCAAAATCCACGTTTTTCTGCAAAAACCTCCATTCGTAACCTTTCACTATTGCCTTTTTTCAAAAGGGTGAAAAGGAAAAAATCAAGACAAGTTTTGGTCCCCGATTGATCTCTGCTTAACAGATGATAACACGTTTAATACACCACGTTCATGTACAATGTGATATGACGTCACAGACCACGTGGCGTGATAGGTCCTGACCAGTGTAAACTCATTATTCAGTATTACAGTCTGTTTCGGGAAAGAAAACATCGCATTATTATAGACCGACTGGCACATAACATAACCCGGTAGAAAGAACAGCGCTGAACCGTCCGCTTAATAGCGTTATATATGACGTGTGATAAGACGTCACAGACCACGTGATATGACGTCACAGATCCGACTGGCACATAAATAACTTAACCGTCCGCTTAATAGTGTTATTCGTCTGTAAAAATATAATGAAAGTTGTAAGGTTGGCACACGTTCCACAACACCTTACCGATCCATCTTTGTTTTAAGTCCACCCTGGATTAGTTATTTACAATTCGACTTAATGACGTTAATTATGATAATTACGCTAATTAGTAATTATAATAATGCTAATTGGATTACCAGACTAACTCCCAGTAGTATATACTTCAGATGAAGAACACCGCGGGATTACCTCCGGTTGTCATTGAAGTCGCTAACAGGATCAAGCAGGAACGTAAGTAACTTTAGTAACTTTAGTAACCTTTGTAGTAGGTAACTTTAGTAACTACAAGTATTAATACTTGTAGTAAACTTAGTTACTGTCCAGTGTTCACTTTTTAGTAACACTCTAGTAACTGTTTAGTGACCCTGTAGTAACTGTTTAGTGACCCTCTAGTAACTGTTTAGTGACCCTCTAGTAACTGTTTAGTAACCCTCTAGTACCTTTTAGTAACCCTCTAGTAACTGTTTAGTGACCCTGTAGTAACTGTTTAGTGACCCTCTAGTAACTGTTTAGTGACCCTCTAGTAACTGTTTAGTAACCCTCTAGTACCTTTTAGTAACCCTCTAGTAACTGTTTAGTAACCCCTACCAACTGTTTAGTAACCCTCTAGTAACTGTTTAGTGACCCTGTAGTAACTGTTTAGTAACCCTCTAGTACCTTTTTAGTAACCCTCTAGTAACTGTTTAGTAACCCTCTAGTACCTTTTTAGTAACCCCCAACCACCTCAGAGTTACTAAAGAACGCCAGCTCACTCTACATCGAGCAAAGCAGAAACGCCAATCTCCCCACTGTAAACCTGGCGTACGGGTAAGCTAATTCCTACAACTTTTCATGCCTTTCATCCTGACCGCCTCCCCCTTTCATCTTTTCAACTATGATAAGTTATATACCACGTGACATGACGTCGTATACCACGTGATATGCCTTTTGATATGGAAAACTGAGCATTTACCTTCTTTACCTTCGGCGGCTGGTCGCTTAAAGTAGTGTTTAATTGACGACCGTTTTGTAAGACAATTTGGAGTTTGCAGTGCTATCACATTTCATTGATCGGATCATCAAAACATATCGTTTATTGTCATTTCATGATTGGATTACAACTCGTATACCTTAGTGCAAGAAATATAGGCGGCAAGAATATAAGGCGCTAGAAATTAAGGCGGCAAGAAATTAAGGCGATATTTTTTTCGGAAAAAATACGATTTTTGATCGCAAATTTGGTTATAGTTTTGGTCGAAATAGTGTCAATTTTATTCTTTTATCAGTCTATAAAGCATAGAAATCTGTTTAAAAATACGATATATTGGACATTGGTCACATAAAAACTAAATGGTGCATGCACATTATATTTATAGTGATTGCTGTTCTGTCGTCTAAGTTTATAATTTTAAATTAGGTAGACATCCACTACATCAGCAAACTGCAAGTCAATTGGTATATTCATTGCATTTGACAAAATGATAGTGCACATTCTGTACGCGGCAAGGAATTTTTATGTATGTATACTACATATCATCATTAAAATTAAAAATTATTTCTTTTTAAAATTAAAACTCGATTTAAAGCTTAAAAATGAAATGTAAAATTGTACGAACATTCGAATTTGAACTGACATTAATAACACATGTACTGCAGTTTAAATCTCAATAGAATATAGTCCGAGAAGCCGAGATAAAAAACATGAAGTTAGATCCTGAGCGCTGCAAATGGATCAATCAGCATTCTTGAGTCAATACCGTCCTCCTTGCACCTCCTCACCGCTTCAGTGAGACCAGACGCACGCCATCCAGAAGCGATCAACTTCTTTCCTTCCACAGTTTTGAAGAACTCGTAGGAAGCTGTCAAAGTTTTGGCATGGAGAGGTTTCAGCACTGACAAGCGGATATCCAACTTGAAATCTCCTACTTCAGGATTATGCTGGATGTGATCTGCTAGACTACGACTTACGTAGGATGCACATGCCTCCCGCTCAAAATCTTTTAGCTTTTTATTCACTGTGAGATCTAGTGGTGACAAGAGATGAGTCAAATTTTTCGGTATGTCGACGGTACAGATTCCAAGCATTGAAAGCAGACTCAAAACTCGTGGTGCATTATGAGCACTAAAATCGTCCCAAATAACTACCACTTTCTGACTGTCAGGTTTTCCGAGGGATTTCTTCTTCTGATCAACGTAAGGCTTGATAACATTATTTAGGATATTCAAAGTTTCTTCAGTGTTCGACCAGTGCGTTTTGTTGTAAGAGAGAAGGAAACCTGCGGGAAGTAGATCTGCAGAAGGTAAGCACCTTTTAGTTGTTCCTTTGTAAATTAGTTGGTAGGGTAAGATGTCTCCTGACAGTGTGACCGCGAGAGTAGCTGTGATTGTTCTCTTGTCGCCACAGTGAGCCACAGCAGTACGGCTTTCTCCCCTCTTACTCATGGTGGAGTTGCTCAGGTTAAAAAACTTTGTTGGAGTTTGGTCCAGGGTGATAATCAGCTCCTCGGGAATGTCGTACTCGTCAACAACCTTCTGAAGAGCGAAATGATACCGTAACTTGGTTTCTTCATATGCTCCGCTGCTAACAGGTGGCCTAGACGTCGTAGCTTTTCTCTGAGAGAACTTCATCCGGGTGTACAATGATGTCAGCCAGGAGTGTGTTACCTCGAACTTCAAGAAAGTGCCGTACTTTGTTAGGTTAGCGTTCACCAATCCCATGAGACATCCACGTATTGTTGTCGAATTGACCACACCTCCAGCCTCTCTCATGGTTACCAAGAGTCTTCTCAAATCAGCATCCAATTCAGCCGGCAACGATGTAGGCCTTCCGCGTTTCCCCACAAGCAATGCTTCAGGAGCTGATCCATCTGCTCCCGAGATTTTGCTGTACTCTCGTTTCCACCTCCTCACTGAATTTTCGGTAAGATGAGCAAATTGGGGCTTGAAATGAGTAACTGTATCCACGATCCTGTTAGAAGTAGCATAGCGGGCGATGGTCGCCTTCTCCTTCGGTGTGTATGTTGCACGTTTTTTGGTTTTGGCTTTGGAAATGCTAAGACAATCAGCTACGCTATCCAGCTGGCTCTGACTCAAGCCCGACGTGCTAGGAGTTGGCAAACTGTGAACTGGGATATTTGCGACGGTTAGTGATTCGGCACCCACATCCTTATCCCGCATGTAGTAACCTAAGAGATTCCTGACCGACATACCTGTTCAAGTGAAATGTTAAAAGTAAAACTAGTGGCGAAAAGTTCACAGTTGATGAGCATTAAGGAATCACAAGTCTTATTCTCTTATTGTGAATTTGTCTTGATGACTTAGGTATCATTTATCAGTTGGTACTCTACCTAATGATATCCGTGTGACTAATTATGATATCCGTGTAACTCCCCAAACTTGTTATAACTACGACCATTGGCACAATCACAAACTATAAAGCTCATACAGCGCATGTAATAGTCCAGAAAGTAGATACACATTACACAACAGGGAGATAGGGAGCCACTATTATATATTTCACCATAATTTAGACAGCAGAAGGACAATTGTAATTAATGATGCGAAGCAATATATCGAACAGAAAAGGGCACCAAAATACTGGAGGGACTGCAACAAGCGGTGTAGTGGTCAATTTTAGCGGTTTAGCGGACCACTAACAAAAAATCTCCCAAACAAAACATTATTTTAAGCAGTTTAGCGGTATTTTCTAGCGGTTTAGCGGATCGCTAACGAAAAAAAAAGTGCCAAGTTAAGCGGTACCAGCTAACACCGCTTGTTGTAGCCCCCCCCCCCCCCCCCCCCCCCCCCCCCCTACTTAATACCTATGTACTTATTATGAGCAGCCATGACCACACAATTTGCAATATTTCGATTGTGCATGACCTACAACTCTACAAGTCTACACTCTATAATTGACAATCGGTATAAGCTTGTGCGGAAATTCCTAAAACAATGTATGTTTTGCATCGAGTAAATGCTCAAAGACGAAAGGCAAATATTATAGTACCTAATTAAGCATAAATTAAGCTAAATTGAGTACTTAAGCAAATGAGTACTTAAGCAAATTGAGTACTTAAGCAAATGCAAGCAAATGGCACAATTCATCACTCGAATGTAATCATGAAACACTGAAACTGTGCGAAAGTGGGTCGGCACTGCTGCACTGGCAGGAGGCAGAGTGAAGTGACGTCACTCGCAGGAGTCAGGACTGCAGGAGCGCCAGGCTGCAGTTGTCACGGCCGGCTCATAGATTTGCTCAGATGTAAGAATGCGATCAGTTACCGTGTGTATGATAAATTTCACGCGCATTGCTCACTTGCACCCACATCCCACAAGACCACAAGAGGTAGTTTAAAAAGTTAATCAAATCGTAACTTCAAGTCAAGAGGTCACTCAGCTTTCTATTTCGGTCCAGTTCCACGCTCTCTTCTACACACACACTCCCACCTCGCTGTTGTATAAAGGTATAACAATGTGTACTACTACAGTGACAATTGACATACCAGAGACATCATTTGTCATGGGGGTGAGAGGGTATCACTTTTATCAAAAGGATTGGACAAAACCATCTAAAGACGATACTTTATCATTCGAGAAGGAAGATAATAATCCCTACGATTCTTTTGCAGTCGCAGTGAAAGCGAAATTTCCGCACAAGCTAGTACCGATAACTGTAGGACATGTGCCAATTGAAATATCACGAATTGTCTACTTTTCGATTGGTCATGGCTGCTCCTACAAAGTAAAAGTCCTGGAGGAGAAACCTGCACGTTCTCCTCTTACACAGGGCGGCTTAGAAGTGAAGTGCTCTGTAACTGCTTCATGGACCAATGAGAAGGGAATAACGCTCCTCAAGAAGTTAGTCGACGAAAAGTACAGCTTCGACAAACGTTTGGAGGATGAATCAGCTGATATTATCAAGAAGCTATTTCCAGACACGACGGAGCAAGATGACGACGACTATCTTGGTTATGGATTGCAGCTGCTGGAGATATATGACTCTGATGAAGAAGGAGAAGACGAGAATATTAATTGATATATTAATGTATTTAGACTCAAGTTAATTTATTTTAAATATGTATTTCATTGAATTCTAGCAAATAACGAAATCGACATGTAAATTTAAAATAATAAAATCACACGAAAATTTCTTATGAAAAAATCGCAAGAAAAAAAATTAAGGCGGTTAGAAATTACGGTGGTCAGATATTAAGGCGGCAAGAAATTAAGGCGATTTTGTCAGAATCGCCTTAATTTCTTGCCGCCTATATTTCTTGCACTAAGGTAACTCGTAGTTGCTGTTGAGTAAAAATCAGATTTTACAGACTACGGAACAGAAGAATAAACATTAGACGGAATTCTTTTATAGCAAATTTCAATAAGAAAGGATCAAATGTTCTTGAATAACGAATATAGAATCGATGTTTAATCAGTCATTTCACTAATTACTTAATTAATCATGTAATTACCCTCAGGATGCCGACTGCTCCGAAGTTAAACGAGTTCCCCACTATATGTCTTCCCTCTCACATCCCAAATGTGAACGCTGCCTCATTGTCCGCCTCCTATGTTCGACCTAACTGGTATGTTTCTAAATCATAAAACTAGTTACCAATAGTTGCCACTGGTTGCCACTAGCTACCATTAGTTAGCACTTTCCGCCATACTGCACTTTTTTACAGATTCTAGTAAAATTGTATATTGAATTACTGATTTACATTTCACTCGTTACAGGGCGACTCCCATGTTGATAACGTCCAGTCAGAACACCACTCAACCCCGGGCCCACCAGCTACCGTACTACTACAACCAGAGTATCCACTACCCCCACCCCTTTACTCCAGGTACAGATCACGTGGTGTGTGACGTCATGTCACGTGGTGTGTGACGTCATGTCACGTGGTGTGTGACGTCATGTCACGTGGTGTGTGACGTCATGTCACCCTGTCTGTCTCTCAGTGAACAGTGAATTACTTTCTTCAAAAGTTACAACCACAAGTTAAAAGGTTCAAGTTTTTCCACTGCAAAACAAGCATGGAGCCTTGTGAAAACCACAAGTCCCACGGTCCACAACTAAGATCACCATGTAACCTATAGAGCGTGTAACACAGCGTGTAACAGTGTGTAACAGCGTGTAACACAGCGTGTAACACAGTGTGTAACAGTGTGTAACAGCGTGTAACACAGCGTGTAACACAGTGTGTAACAGTGTGTAGCAGTGTGTAACACAGCGTGTAACACAGCGTGTAACAATGCCATATTCCAGGTGCTGTCGGAAGCTCACAGTTGCTACCAAGTAACCCTCAACAACAGCAACAACCGCAACCAGCACCCCCAACTAAGGGCAAGGGTTCTAAATGTGAGTAGGAGGATTAGTAGAGAGGATTTTAAAAGCCGTTTTGTATTTGCGGTTTTAGAAAATAATTCAATGACAATAGACTTTTATTGACTATTTTGACAAATCAAGTATTAGTATTATGCTGAAGTGTTACCTTATCATAATTTTAATACTTACAGCGTCTAAGAAGAAGTCGACTCATATCAAGAAGCCTCTGAACGCGTTCATGTTGTACATGAAAGAAATGAGGGCCAAAGTAGTTCAGGAATATACACTGAAAGAGAGCGCAGCAATCAACCAGATCCTTGGCAAACGAGTACGTGTCTGTCTGTCTGTCTGTCTGTCTGTCTGTCTGTCTGTCTGTCTGTCTGTCTGTCTGTCTGTCTGTCTGTCTGTCTGTCTGTCTGTCTGTCTGTCTCTTTGTCTAACCTAACCTCCTTATCATAACAGTGGCACGCACTGGACAGATCTGAACAAGCCCGGTTTTACGAGTTGGCTCGCAGAGAACGTGCCCTCCACATGCAGGTAAAACTAACCCCCTCCCAGTAGTTATCACACGTTATGTGTGACGTCTATCACGTGGTGTGTGACGTCATGTCACGTGGTGTGTGACGTCATGTCACGTGATGTGTGAACCCTCCTCCCTCCCAGTACTTATATTCCCTCACTCCGGCAACATGATAATAGCATCCTCCAACCACCTAGTTAATTAGTGTTTACTGGATCAAAGACTTTGATCTTGTCTTTGAAGAATGGCCTGATAATTCCCTGTGACATTGTTCGATGATGCGAACGATATTAACCTTTGTTTTGTTTATTTCGGTTTATTTGATTACAACTTTGTAACACAACTTTGTAACACCCTCTCCCATTCAGATGTACCCGAATTGGTCCGCAAGGTCCAACTACGCAGCTACTGGTAAAAAGAAACGAAAACGAGACAAGAACGCAGAACAAGGTTAGTCCCAACTTACTTCTCCTTGATATTTGATGTTATCCTGCTGTGGCTCGATCACAGTGAAGGTCGTTCTCACAAAGCAAGGATCTAACTGAAACACTGGTATTAGCAAGGCTAATCTTATTTGTAATTTCTTCGTTTGTAAATCTTTCTTAAGCTCCAATCTCCTGGCTAATCTTACTTTCTTCCCTCTTAAAATTAAAACGGTTGAATTCAAGTTACACTTACAGAAGTTAACACGAAACTAGATCATGGACTATCAACACTTCAACAGTTTTCTTTAGATCCACTCAGCATTAGGCCTCAAACTCATCACTTGACCTTTAACTTAAACATTAAACATTCACCATCTGGCCCCCTTGATCTTCCACAACGGCCCTAAATAAAAAACATAGTTATTTAATACCATAATTTTTAGACATCCATGACACTGGTGACACTAAGGTATGAACATGTTTCTGTTAGCTGGGATATATAACTGTAAAGTTTCCAGATGCTGCTAATGTTAGGGAGGCGGGGCATGTTTCTTTTTTATTGGTCGGAGTTGGAGCCTGATTGGTGGAAACAAACAGAGCTGCTCTCTGATTGGTGGAAACAAACAGAGCTGCTCTCTGATTGGTGGAAACAAACAGAGCTGCTCTCTGATTGGTGGAAACAAACAGAGCTGCTCTCTGATTGGTTGTAACTAACAGAGCTGCGTTCTGATTGGTGGAAACAAACAGAGCTGCTCTCTGATTGGTGGAAACAAACAGACCTGCGTTCTGATTGGTTGTAACTGACAGACCTGCGTTCTGATTGGTTTAAAAGAAACGTGCCTAACTTCCTGGCAGAGAGCCAAATTCATAAATTGTACATTTTTTTCCACGTTCATGTTCCTTGTACCGTGTTCTAAGTAACTGCAATTCAGCTGAACAATTCGTAGCGCAGATTATTCGTCAGTTTTTGTTCGCTGTGATGGGTTTCTCAATATATTGTTCAATATATTGTTCAATATGTTGTTCGCTGTTTCCATGTTTTGTCTCATGAAGTTGGATATTTGGTATTCTTTTAGGCGAAAATTGAACCAACAACTTTGTAATTGTAAAAACTGTGCTAACATCAGCACTCAAAAAGTCAAAACCGATATTTCTGGTTCGGACTCGAGCAACACACCATATTATTGAACAATTACATTCGTGGAATTGATACCAGATAGCCGAATACTCTAGACTTTAGAGTATTATCTTTTCTAAAAAGCCGTATTATTAAATTATTTGATATTAAATGTCATGGCAATGACGGTTTCACCCGCTAGATTTAATTTATTCAAATGTTATTACAAGACACTCAAACTCTGCAAATTTACCCAATATTTCTGGATTGATCCGCTAGAATTAATACATATATTAAAAATTCGGCTGTAAAACTTGTCTGATCGATTCAACAGTGCGACAGATGATAACAACTTTAATGATGGTTCACTAATCTGCAGATTTCAATGTGACATATTGACTATTGAGGTTACCATATTGCTACATATGACTTAATATCAGTATTATAACTGAATCTTTGCTGAAATAAAATAAAAAGTAATGAAATGTTGGTACACGTGGTCGTGTACACTGTAAAGATATATTGCTTTTAAAGCCGTGTTACATTTTGTTCTCATAGATTACATATCTGTGACCGTCTACTGTCTAGACGTCTAGTGTTTATAGTGACGCCTATCAGTAAAAGTTCACCTGTCTATATGCACGCTTCTGCAGATGTAATAACAATTGTTGTTAACATTATTGTTAACATTTTTGTTTACATTGTTGTTAACATTGTTGTTAACATTATTGTTAACATTGTTGTTAATATTGTGAAAACAATCAGGACGTTGTTAATGTTGGTTTTCATCGGCAGGGTTTTTTAAATAATAGTAATACCTAACAACAAGTAGAGCATTTTTCATAAAGTAAAGAATTCTTATTACATTCCTAATGACTCGTGGGAACGAACCCAAATGGAATGCGAACAGTCATAATCTTATCAAATTTTTTTTCCTTTTCACCGTCGTAATCAATGTCGCTTTCAGAAGCAGGAAGTCCCAAAAAATGCCGAGCAAGATACGGACTCGATAAGCAAAGCAGCTGGTGCAAGCCCTGCAGGTAACCATGACAACCGTAACCATGACAACCGAATTTACAAATCATGAAAAACCTTGTATTTTATAATTATTCTTGTCTGAATTTGGATAACCAATATAACGAACATGATAAATTGTCCTTTGGCATTTTACCCTTTTATCAACATTTCACCAACTAAATCTCTCCTACAGAAGAAAAAAGAAGTGTGTAAGATACCTACAAGGAGGAGAAGACAGTGACTGTAAAGACGGTAAATGTGACGCGGACGGAGACCACCACAAGCCATCCTGCCCGGCTGCCCACGAACCTGGCTGCTCTGTACGCGGCGCGGACCAATGCGACTGTAACACCCACACATGCGGGGGCGAGTTCAACAGCTCCGAGAAAGTCAAAGTGGAGGAAAAAGAACCGTGCACGTGCAGAAAAGAAGCAGAAAGCAACAAGACACCAAATGTGGCTGTGAGCAGTAGCAGCACGGAGAAGGAAGGGAAAGATACTCTTCATCTGGCGAGTGTGGCGAATTTGTCTCTGACTCGAGAGACCCTTGTTACATCTGTCGCCAGCACCTCCCTCCCCACCATAGACACAAACTCCCTGTATAAAGCTGAGAACGTTTTCACGTCTCCTAAGTTTAGATCGGGTTTTGAACAGCCGGCGTCTCAGACGACCGCGGCAACGGTGACGCCGCGCGTTTTTATTTCCCCAGACTTTAATAATGTTACCCCGAATACATCGACCGTGTCCATGCTATCTCACTTTCCTAGTAGTTAATTTATAATTTATTATTTTACTATTTTACAAAATCTATTTTTATCCTATTTTAAAAGCATGATTTTTGAAGTAAATTTCTCATATTGCAGTATAAGTATTATACTCCTGTAAAACCGCATCATGCATTAATTGGATATTGACGAAAATTATAACTCTTCTTATTTGTCAGTTTTGAAGTATGATCGACGATCATAACTTCTGCATCAGACATGGCTATTAATTTTTTGATAACCACGAGCTTTGAAGTATTATCTAAAAACCGTCTCTGATGTCTGAACAATTCTAAAATCGATAACATGTAACAATCGTTTTTTAATCTCAATGAAGTGTTCTTAATTTGTAATTTTGGGCGTCTTCACTTACATTGAGTTACAATTTCAAATTTGTAATTGAGAACGTAACATATTCAAATATGTTCATAGCTGATAGCAAGAAATTAAGCTGTGCTGCTCAGATTGAAGTGATGACTAGACTTAAATTTAATAGTAATACATCGCAGTTCAATTTTATCAATATACTATCAACGTAACTCATCGCTTGATTGACGATGTCGACCGACCATCGACAATCGAAATCGTTTCTCTTCGATGCGAAGCAAGAATGCAAGTTTGCGCGGCGCGTCGAAGCGGCAAATTCCTTCAACTGGACGCGGCCGGCCATATCTAAATTTTAAAGGATTGAGCCGCACAAACGTGAAACGAACTGATCGTGTATAGTAGACTGCATAGCAGGCGGACTTATATTATATATTATATGTATTATATATTAACTAATTTATTAATATCTCCCCGCGCATTTCTCTTTTGACGGATCGGATGTTACTGATCGTTTAAATTTCTTCGAAGTGGCCCGAGGAAAGTGCTACGAAGTAGCGCGCGCCTGGCTAGTCATTAGTCCATGTTTTGCTCTATCCAGAGCTTGCTCTAACCAGAGCCCTCTCACTTGCAGTAGCGCGCGACCGCCGAAGGTATATATTCAACTTTTGAAACAAGCGCGTCACGCAGTACGCGTATACATATGGCTATGTGAAATCCAAAGCCCTCACGGCGGTAAACAAGCTTGTGAAACAAGCGCGCCCGCAGCGGCGCGAAAGCACATGGAGAGTTGTAGGTTTACAACCTCGCTCCTACTAAATCGCTCGCCCAAATTTTAAGAAAATTCTTGTGAAAAGGCCCTTTAGGCATGAAAGTGATCAAAACCGGTGTATTTTTGGACGCTGATTCCGAATCACCCCCCATGCATGACGTAGGGTTAAAATGCTTCCCCGGAGAGTTATGGGCAAAAAACCGTTTTGGTCACGTGACAGGCTAGTAAACCGTGAATTCGATTATTTAGGGCTCCGGTTAGGGTTAGGGTTGTGGTTAAGATTATGGATAGCTTCGGGGTTATGGTTAGGGTTAGGGTTGGGATTAGGGTTTATGTAAAACCGTTTTGTACGGCTGCAAAACCAAAAAGACCAAAGTCACGTGAAATTTTTGGGCGAGCGATTTAGTAAGAGCCTTACAACCTACCAGGACGCGCGCCGAGTTGATACATGTTTCGTATCCAAATATCGAAAAGTGGCATGCAACGTATGTCAAGCGCCGAGTTGGACTCGTCGACGGTCTGCAATATATGGAACAGATATTTTACGAGTATCACCCGTTAAATGGTTAGGTGAAGTCCATGCTAACAATGGACAAGTTTCTTTTCACATCTCTCCTATTTTATATTTACAATTTAAATTTGCACTGCATATGATATGCAGGAAGCTCGAAAATAGCGCCGCGCATATTGCTTGCGGATAGGCGTTCCTGTTGGTACTGGAAATATATAGATAATTACGGATTAACTATAAAACGGGTGATGTTGGTTGTAAAAGTTTTAAACCGTCGACGTTTTAAAGTTAATGATTAGTCCAACTGTGAATTTGGCGCGTTTTTGCAATTTGATTAACGATCGATGTCAACCTTTGACCTTGCTTTTGCTCTAACCAGAGCCCTTTCGCTTGCAGTAGCGCCGCGCACGACCGCAGTAGCGCGTCACGCAGTACGCGTATACACATGGCTATGTGAAATGTCAACCCTTCAATCGAAATTGTTGCTTTGCCGCGAAGCAACAATTGATAATGACAGTTCGAATCGCGCTGCGCATAAAAGCGGCGACGTCCTCCAATCGTTGCTTTATTTACTTTGCAGATCAACAGTCTGGCTGTTGTCATACGTTGTACGACCGTGGGTTCATATTATATATATAGCCATGTGTATACGCGTACTGCGTGACGCGCTTGTTTCACAAGTAGAATACTTGGCGTTGCTCTATTTCTTACTGGGCGGCGCTCAGCCTGTCATTCCGCCGAATCTTTATTCGGGCTGAGTGAATTACGATTTCCATCGCCCTGAAATTCTGAAAAAGTGCGAATCATGTTAGAGCGTACGTGGACTAGTATTCACGTGATCGTTCAGAACTAATTACAGCCGCGCAAAAGATCACGTGCATGCTAACTACCAATTGGAAAGAAGTGACGTATGCGCTACAAGAGCTGCGCGCTGAGTTAAATTGTAAAATCTGATTATTTGGTTGTAAAATCGCATAAACAATAAAAGTGCCTACTTGCGCGTTTTAGAGAGTTTAATTACGCCAGGCTATGTTTATGAACATAATAGCCTGGGGTCCCCAGGTAACTTTATCCCTTGCGCTTGCAGTAGCAAGTTGTTGTGAGACAAGCGCGCCCGCAGTGACGCGAAAGCACATGGTTAGGTGAATACTTGGCGCTACTGCAAGCGAGAGGGCTCTGGTTAGAGTAAAACCGTGGGGGTCACGACGTCATGTACAATCTGGTTGTAGGTTTACAGTTTATAATTTACTTAGCTTTGATTGACGATGCATCAAACCTCAAACCTGCGCTTCCAGATTATTGCTAAGTAGAGCAACGATGCGAAGCAAAAAATAGTTCGGACGGCCGGCAGCGCGTCGAAGCGGCGAAGTCCTAATAGAACATATACAATAATCTACCGAAAACGTGTGCATTGTTGAATGTGCCGTGCCGAGTTGGACTCGTCGACAGCCGCAGCCAGTATATAATAAAATCTAAGTAAACCCCTATATAATTATATATGGACACATTTATTTGAGTTTGAGGATATTGGTAAACAAAAATAATAGCGATAGTGGCTTAATTTTGACATCTATTAACCTATCCCGTTCAGAAGTTCTGAACATTAGCCAAGTAACCCATACTCCCATATGCACCGCTCAGAAAGAAAATCTATTGTTGTTAGGCACTATAATGTTTTAAATGTCACATTTTGTGTGACTTAGTTAACTGCAGTTGTCTAATTATCATTCCTTGGTCTGAAATATAGTAAATTAGGTCAATCTTACAATTATGATACAACATTGGTTAATGGGCACGGATCGAACGATTACAAGGCAATATTTGGGTAACTTTGTCACACTCATGATACCATACCTCTATTCTACTGTGAGGTGTCCTAAAAACCCTTTCAACTCATTATTTGATGGTTGATGTACCAATCATAGCCCTAAAATATATTGTTTTGAATAGTTAGCTAATACAGGCACTTGGTTATTGGGAAATGAGGTTAATTCTGTCACAATATATGAAATTTTAAATTTTGGGCGAATTATTTATATTTGATTTTGGTTTGAAAGGCGGGAAAACTTTATATGATGACAATGTAGTTGATGCAAGTTAAGATCAGTTGATGTTTACATTGTCACAAAAAATTATACGAAATCGTAAATAGGTTAAAAACAATGATTATAGAATGAAATAGTCTCTTATGAGTATTGCTGAAAGCACAGTGTAAGGCCTACACGGACCGCCTCTAACTAGCCAATCCCTGTTTACATGCCGTGTAGCAGGGGACTAGAAAGAGCTAAACTAGTAAGCGGGGCATAGCCAATACACTATACTTCCATCATTGAGTATATTACCAACCAGAAGGAAAATTTCCTTGTGTTTGGAATCTACCAAGACGAAAGTTGTACAATCCAGCGAAATTCCGAAGATATATAATAACTCTTATAATAACTGATGTGACAAAGTGAACATGTCTTGCCCCTATTTTGAAGATCTATATTCTATACCTCTATTAGAATTCAATATTCTTAAGTTTAACAATTTTAGGTTAAATTTGTCAAAGTCACTAAAAATGTGACAAAATTAACTTTCCCTGCCCCAACAATATCAAGATAGTGTATTAAAATTGGCATAGGATCCTTTATTGCCAATATAAATCAATCCAATCTACAAAATATATGTTAATGTGATGACGATTACCTAACTCTTATAATAACTGATGTGATAAAGTAAACATGTCTTGCCCCTATTTTGAAGATCTATAACTCTATTAGAATTCAACATTCTTTCAGAAACGATTGGAAGAATATTGTCCAGAACATCAGAGCTCAATTTTAACAATTTTAGATTAATTTGTCAATGACACTGAAAATGTGACAAAATTAACTTTCCCTGCCCCAACAATATCAAGATAATGCACGTTAAAATTGGCATAGGATGCTTTATTACAGGTATATTAATCGATCCAAACTACGAAAAATATCTTTTAATCTGATGACGATTACCTAACTCTTATAATAACTGTCACTGATGTGACAAAGTAAACATGTCTTGCCCCTATTTTGAAGAACTATACCTCTATTAGAATACTAATGGTAATCATCAAAACATTTTCGATAAACTAGTTATTTTGCCAGCAAGGAGCTAACAGAGTTATAATAATTTTTTGTGTGACGAAATTACCCTATTTTTGACCATGTTGTGGTAGTTTAATTGTGACATTGTTAACATATTACCACCTGATAATGACTCATGTGACTGGTACATGGTACTAGCAGTTTTGTTTGATCCATAGTACGTAATATAAGAGTATATGGGGTTTAAGCTGGAATATCATTATTTGTTCAATTTCACACATGTTCAGATATCATCAAGATTATGTGACAAAGTAAACTTGGTTGTGCCTTCTGTGTTTTAATTCCTTACGACTATAAGATATAATAACAATTCCCAGCACTTTCAGGCCATCAAATAAACCTACACTACTCAGCATTGCTTATCAGGGTGCCCTAAACATTCATCACATATTTTCTTTAATGTGTGACAGAGTAAACCTGAGTGCACCATCCAACGAAAAAAGTCGTCAAATATGTAGGTAATGGTCATATGTACCCATCCAATCAACTGGACACTCAAAAATTTGGTCAAAAACGGCAGCAAGGGGTCCATATTTACTCCGTCACATGTTTATAGGGTGACAATGTAACCATTTCCGTGCCGGCCGTATTTAAGCGATATCTTATCACCTCATTAAGATATCGTTATGTGACAAAGGTAGCCTAGAGGATGAGACGATTATCCTAACCATCAAGGGTTTATGTAATTTCAAAGTGTGACAAAGTCAAGTACACTGTGCCTTTTAATAGGGTCACTTATATTTACCAATATCCTCAAACTCAAATGAACGTGTCCATATATACATGATACAATTACCAAATTATTGTCACACATTCACACTTAAATTAAATAAATACTCCTTGTTGCGAATTTTTAGTGCAAGTACCAACATACATAGCTAGCAGTACACAAATATTTTACTGTATGCTTGAAGACCAGTACAGGTTCCTAACCTTAAAAGGAACTTTACAATTTGTTCTTTTGTTGAATATTGTCTGTGCAAATAACCCATATATGCTCATATCAATATGACAAAACGAGTTCCACGTCAGCCAGTTTGCAGTTATTACTGTTAGGGTTATTGGCATCAATCTAAAAAATCAAAATTCAGCCAAGACTGTAAAATTTCGGTCAATGACAAATGAAACAGCAGAAATGAAAAAGGTTTCTTTTCAGACTCTTCAAAAATGTCTCCTTCTATTCTGATGATTTTCCGTTCATCAAAGCTTTCTTTGGCAATCTAACTTTCAGTATGTCAATTGTGTCTTCTGTCATCCACTGTAAAATGGTCATTTAAGAGCAAATTCAGTCTAAACAGTGAAATTTGGGTCACAGAGATAAGAGCTTAAATTCGAATATGTCCTACCGGTAGGACATATTCAAAATTTTCATTGCCTCACAGTTTTCTCCGGATATACCAGTTCGAAATTTCGGTCAAGGGGACAGCAGAAAAGCACCTCTTCAAAAATCTTCCAAAATCTCTTTGAAGTTTCCTTTGAGAATAGAACTTTTAGTACCTCAATCGTGTCTTGTGCCATCCTCAGTGACCTTGTAAGATGGTCATTAGAGAAAAATTCAGTAAAAAAAGTGAAATTTGGGTCACGGAAAGTTGAAATTTGAATATGTCCTACCAGTAGGACATATTCAAAATTTTGCATCAAAGTTTTCTCCGGATATACTGGTTCAATTGCTCGATGGCTTGTGTCACTCTCACCAACCCCACTGATTGGTCACTGGTAAAAATTTCAAAACCGCAAAATTTCGGTCAAGGGGACGGCAGAAAAGCTCTCTCCAAAAATCTTCCAAAATCTCTTTTTATATTCAGATGATGATTTTCTGTTTACCAAAGCTTCTTTTAGGAATAGAACTTTGAGTGCCTCAATCGTGTCTTGTGCCATCCTCAGTGACCTTGTAAGATGGTCATTAAACAAAAATTCAGTCAAAACAGTGAAATTTGGATATGGGCATTGGACACATTCAAACGTCATATTATTAATTATATTAGGAACCGACCGGAATGGGCTTTTGGCTGCCGGACCGGATTTTGCCGTATATCAATCTATTATCCGGTTAGCCGGATTTTGCCGGACCGGCAGGATATTAATCCTACTAAGCCATAGTTTGTAATTACACGATAAGTTCTGCATTCCTAAGGGCAAATTAATACAACCACACCAATGATGTTTCCTGTTTAGGCCTAGCAGTAGACATTCACATAGGTCAAATATCAAATCAACAAGCAGTACGTTGTAACCAGAGTAAACAAGAAGTAACAAGATCAGAGTAAACAAGTTATTATCAGAAATGATATGCAACTGGCATATCCTACCTCTTGAGCGAAATTGGGCTGCACGACTTAGGGGACCCCCAATTATTAGGGGTCCCTCGGTGATCAGATCATGTCACCAATTAGTGACATATTTTTTTATCTAGACACTTATTTTACTTCGGAGTATTCCAACAGCCATATTGTTACACAAGTGCAACCAGCCAATTACAGGAAGCCGAAGGATTTGTTTTTAGCCAGTGACGGTTAAGGTAGTGTGTACCATACTTTCTTCGCCCAAGACTTTGCTGCAATGTGCAGCTCCTCATTTAACCCTCACACCCGATTTCTCGAGTATTCGGCTGAGTAGACCGGGGGGCTGCATAGACCACTCACGATCCTTAGCTGAATGTCAACGACACTCACCCCACGACCAGGCAGGCAGTGGGATTTGAACCCGCAACCTCACGATTGCAAAGCTGGCTAACCAACTGCGCTACCTGGCCGTTAGTTATGTGATCCATCAGTAGAATTTAATTGTAAATTTCCCACACACACACACACACAGATTTATTGAGATTATTGCTTAAGATATTTATAAGTATAATCACTGTTATTGTTAATTACCGGACTAACATCGCTCGCTCGCTTTTCTCATTCATTCACGGCCTGCAAATAATTAATTATTGGCGAATGAATTTCCTAAGGGTTTAAGATCTTAAAGAGTTAAGAACAGCTGCCCACGCACCACAGCTTGAGTTAAGCACTAGGCAGTGATTACAGTGATAACTGTTGATGGACCCTTCAGATCGTAGAGGTCTGCAACACATGCTCGCTTTGCACATGCATTGTTTTTATCTCTCTATGACTATAATAATAAAGTAATAAGAAATTTAAAGTCATGTCCGTAGCCCACTCGTCGCACGTGCATTAATTATGAGTAATTAAACTTGCATGTTGTACTGATGTAGCTTATTATTATATATTTTACCAAAACCCATTATAATTGGGTTGAGTGGACCGTTGCCAGTGTCTCCTTTTCACAAACAAAAGGAAATGATATCAGTTGGAATAACGGTTCTCAAATGCAAAATGATACCGAGAATGAAATCGTTCGCTACAGCAGAGAGAATTGAGAGAATTGTCTGAGAGGGAGAGATAGCCCAGACAGGAATACTTCATAGAAAGTTTGTGCTTGCAGCACCGCCAGGCATCTGTGAGGGCTGAATCCTTGTCCTTCTTCCGAAAGTAGATGTATCCATCAGAGTCAAGTAGCTGTTGAGATCCTGTCCGATTATAATAATTATACTACACCAATTGTCACTAATTGGTGACATGATCTGACCCTGATAATCGGGGGTCCCCTTAGTCGGCCTCCCCGCGATTGCACGTGTGAGACACAGTTGTTCTCTTTTTGTCATGCGTGTCTGAATATCAAAGCACAATAGTTCCCGATTCAGGGCACAATTGTACCTTTTTAGCATGCAGGCATATTTTATCACTGGATCATTTTTACTAGACAGCAGTCTGCTGTCTGCACAATATTTGACTCGGAGCCAAAACTGGATCACAATAATAAAATGTGATAAAGAGTATTACTAGAGCTACTGTTCGTAATAAGGTTCGGTTCTCCTCCTTTTTGAATTCCGCACCTAGTCAAAACATTTGATTTTTTAAAGATTCGAGTTAAAATGTGACGAAAAATATGCATTTCAAGATTTTAGAAATACATTTTTAAAAAGAAATATCCGGCAAAAATCCGGCAAAAAAAAAAAACCGAACCGGAGCCGGAACCGGATATTGAAGCCGGATATCCGGCCGGAACCGGATTCAGCCGGATATCCGGTCGGTTCCTAAATTATATCATTATATATCAATTATATCGAATTATATTAAGTTATATATATATTAAATTATATTGAATTATTTCCACTTATCTTATAGTGATGGCTACGGGAGAGATGTTACCTAAGATCTCCGAGGAGGGGGGCATGACAACACTCAAGATATTGTCACCTCGGGGTAAGCTCATGGAACCTTCCCCCTCCCAAAGAATGGTCATTGAGGTAGATAGCATTTTAATTAGGGAGGTTGATAATACAAAATATTGTCAAATTATTGTTATCTCTGGCTTATCTGATAATGTTATTCTACTTGATTGTTTCAGCTGTAAAACATATTTAAATGAGACACATATTTGTATTTACTTGAACCCAGCCCAATTGTCATTTTTGTGCTGGCTAAACCTGTAAACATTTCTGTTAAACAATGCATCCCGAAGACAAATAGTTGTTAGCATCGGATTGTTTTTCACAGTCATTTTTCATCGAATAAACATGTCGACTATTTTCAGTTAACAGAGCAACTGAAAACCCTTAAAAGCGAACTGGACAGTAGAGACAACAATATTGCTCATTTAAGGTTTGAAATAAAATTGTTTGTTATAGTTTGTACGGGGAGTATATTTGTATTCCAACATTTGGTGATTATAATTAATTAAACTGCTTTCTATAATCTTTGAGACAAAATTCGATCATAAATTAGACATGCTTATTACTAATTTATTAGTAGATTCTTAAATAAAACGATGCACATGTCACTGTCATGTGAACAGACGTTTATTGCTCACTAAAAATTAAATTTTATATCCTGAAAATCTATACGTATATTTGCTGCAGTGTTCCTCTGCCTTAATATAAAGCTTCTTCATGAGAAAATGTATTTAAAATTCAATGTGTAAATTTGCATGCATTTGATCGATTTGAATAAATATGTATTCATAACCATTTAAATCTTTGTCGCCACTTTAGCCACGAATCGCTGTGAAAGACATGATAATTGCAGTTATTTCGATCGTTTTTCGCACTTTTAAAATCATCATTGACCACTTTTAAGCTCGCTTAAGTCACACAAAATTGCACGCGTTAACAATAGAAAAACCACGGTTTCTATAAAATAAAACAGAGGTATTTTCGATGTAACAGCAAAGTTAACACTCTGTTATAACGTTAATATTATAATTAATAAATATCATAATTAACTATTATGATTAATTAATTATGTATAACGTAAATCCTTTTCCCAGGTCCGCTAATATCTCCCTGGAAACGGAAGTGAACTCAGTTCGGATTCAAATGTCTGGTCACACGCTGGTAAGTGACCTAAAGTTCTTATTTCTTGGCCAATTTTGTATTTCTTCATACTGATCAAAAGGCAATAAAATCATTTGACCCAACCAAAAAGGTTTTGATGGTATATCTCTCACGGTTTTCGTGAAAAGTTGTGTTAAAGTTGATGTCGAGGTGTCAGTAAAAGGGTAACAGATATACGTAAAAGATATATGGTAACAGATATATCGTCTCACTTTATATATTATACTATATAGATTATAGTAAGATTGTGACACAGCAATAATAGTTACACGTATAATTTGGCATGATCTTAAGCTCACAAAAGAGGATTTCAATGTTGATTAGGCGCAAATGTCGTATCTTATCAAGCAGTTTTTTAATTGGTTTTGATTCGTCATCTTCCCATGGTAGCTAGATCTAGATAGTGCGCAACTGTCCGGCAGCCTTTTAATTAGCGTCGACCAATCAAGGCACAAAATGAGTGTCACGTGTCGAAACATAAATCTATGGTTCACCTCCTCTTCATTATCTGTCGCTCGTTCTATACACAAATATCTATTTATTCTTAAAATTAACGTTTTGTACCTTTTTAATTGGAGACGACTAATGGGGGCCCACTTTACACATGCACCCTCAGTGAACCATCCGTCTACTTAAATTATTGTTAAATACAATATACATAGTAATGTTGAAAGTATTAAAACTAATGTGATGTTATAACCACAATAAACGTATAATGGTTAATTTAGCTTATTAAGCCACCTCATTTACATATCATTGTTATTGAGTGCTCCTCATTTCTAGCTGTCGTCCATTAAAATATTCTCTTTATCAAAATTTCCCCTTTTACAATCATAATAATAATAATAATATTATTGTTATTTACTGGACTAAGGGGTATACATGTGTTGGAGTTTTTCTCTTATTTTTCTTCTCTTGCTCTGCATGCCCTGATTCTTGTATAAACATGATGTTTGTTTAAATATTGTATATTCTTGTATTGATTGTGGTATTTTGTGGGTCAGATTCAGCAATACCCAATGGGTACTTGCTGAATCACTGTTTTATACACTCTGTAGCCAGTCCCTGTGTTCCGTCCCTTGCCCTGCAAGCCCTGTTTCTTGAATATACAGCATTTATTTATCGTGTATTACATTGTAGTATGTAATAAACATTTGTAGTAGTGTAGGATTGTTTGAATTTCTTTTTGCTAGGTTTTATAATATTTATTTGTATAATTTGTGATTGTTTCTCCCGGTTTTCTTCCCTTGCGTAGCAAGCCCTGTCTCTTGTAAAAACAACCTCGAAAGATTTGTAAATACACATAGTCTCTACACCTTTACCCTCTGGTCCCTAGGGTCAGCTGATCCCGGGCCAGAGGAAAACTACCGACTGCCAAGGTTTGACGCCTAGGCAGTCGAGACCTCTTATTGAGACCCTTTATAATAATAATAAAATTTGGTAGCTTAAACACAAACTCTAAGCCCAGTGGATAAACCACAAAACTTATGCTCTATTGTGTGAAACAAAGATACTAGATCAAGATAACTATCAAGGAGTGTATGCATAGGACATAAAAAGTTTTGGAACGAAGATGATAATCGAAAAATCATCTCAGTTTCTTCTAAAGCCTTTTTCTTTCAAGCCTTGTTATTTTCGATTATACAGAGACTGTACAGTGTACACACTGAATTCTAATCGTCTGCTATTCAACAATTCACACACAATTTATTTTAAATCCATTAAATAAAGACACGCCTATTATTCTCCTGCTCCGTGGTTGTTAACAAAAGCAATATGTTAACCCCTGGCCAATCAAACTGCTCGCTCCCGCTAATCTAACCAATCATCTCACTCTATCAACATCACGTGACCCTCAAAACATGCACCTAGACACACTCCAGATCACATAATATGTGCATATTGTGCGCTCAATGCACACAGTTTTAATGCACACAGTTTTAATGCACACAGTTTTGTTACCCATCCCTGTGTCATCACGTCAAATATCGCTCCCTGGGGGCTCTGTTACACTGCCACCTTGTCCCACTGTTACACTGCCACCTTGTCCCACTGTGACATAACTCTTAAACTGTGGCTTCACATTTAAAAATTTCCGCACGATTTCGTGACATTACAATATCTAGTGATTGTAATGCTGCTGCCCCCTTGTTTTAATGATAAATACAATAAAAGATTTGCACAGTAAAATTGCAACTTCAGCAGCTTAACATTAATAATACTGATCACGTGACCCACCTCAATGTTTATAGACCGTCTTTACAACTCGACAAATTGCGGCTCTGCTTGTGACCTCCCAACTTTTTTAGATCTGTGCTTGTTTGTCCAGGATTGCAAGAATTGCATAACACGGCTGCTCTCTCTCTCTATCTCTCTCTTGCACAGGATCATTACCATTCGCTAGTCTAATATACATTCTTGTCATGGCTTGTGAAAGTGAGTGTCACGTCACGTCACGTGATCACTATCAGAACTACAATGTTGTGTCACGTGACTGCTATCAGAACTACAATGTTGTGTCACGTGACTGCTATCAGAACTACAATGTTGTGTCACGTGATCACTATCAGAACTACAATGTTGTGTCACGTGATCACTATCAGAACTACAATGCTGATTGTAACTTGTTCCACCCTCGTGTTCCGTTATTATCTTCCACGCGTCATCACACCACAGTACACAATCCTGCAGCTGCTAAAAGTGCGTGTTTTAACAAAACGTGCGGCAGAGTTTAGTGTGCTTTAAAACGGAGGTAAATTCTAGAACATGATAAGATTAGCCACACAGACCATTTACGTTACTTACAAATATTCACTTTAAGTAGGGGGCAGGATTATTGTTATTTACATATCATAATCTCGGGTATTGTAAGTTAGAGAGTGCTTCTACATTCGTTTGTTGTCCGAGCAACAAAATGTTGCCATGGCAACGATTTCTGATTAAGTTTGTGCTGATACATGATATGGGTAGTATTGGGGCGGCTGGGGTCGGTGCGTTTTACAAGGGGTCTGTGAGAATTAATTAATGTCTTGATTATACACTCCAAGATATGATGTAATTTTAATAGGTTAAGCTAGGTAGTTACATACATGTTACATTAATACGTGCATCCTTTGTTGAGTGAAATAGTATTGAATCGTGAATATTTATGTGCATATCGGACATAAAAGGCCCTGGTAAAATGTTAAATGAGTAATTGCAAGGAAACAAATTGTTTCTTAATTTTGATCTTAAATCTGGGTTTTAACTTTTCGAATAGAATGTCATTAACAAGTGAAATTTCATAATCACAAAGAAATAATTTCAGAAATTGGATTCATTCTGCAAGGACTTATGTGATAGATTGGAACTAACGGCTGTAGAAGGAGATCTGAGGGAATTAGTCAGGGAGCGTGTGTCTAGGTTAAAATCTGATAAAGAGAGACTTTCTGCACAGGTATCCATCACTTTTATACACCACAATTATTTAAATATGTCGAGAATTAGCTATTCAAAATATTCATAATATTACAATAATTTAGTCGAGCATTTTTTCATTGTTCACACATCACTGCGTGCAAGCAAAGTCTTGTTGTGACGGACCAATGGTGCATAAGAATTCGAATGTATTGTTTAGCAGTCGTAATCTTGTCAATCGACCATGCATGTTATTTCTGTACTGTTACGCTATCTTCACTTATACAGCATTGCGTCACATTAATCCACCATTGTGTACAGATTGCCGCTCAGCGAAAGGAACATGAGAATCGGTCTAGTGATCTGGCGGCTGAACAAGTCAAAGTTAGTCGGCTCAATGATGAGGTAAAGAAATACTTGATACGGATCTTTAAAGTTTTGTGAGTTAAAAGGTCCATTAAAAGTTATGGAATGGTTTAATTTTAAACGCTTTCTATCAAAGAAATGCATGCGATGAGTTGGTTCACAGCGTGCGCTGAGAAGCGCGGTCGCCGAATGGAATTATTGTATACAAAAAGGCTCAAAATAGTTGTGCGCAATCAGTGTACTAATGCGCGCGCCATGTTAACCATGTGCTAGCCAGGTTGGATCTGTTCGAGAAATTTCATGATTTCACACGAATGCTATATTGTTTCAGGTATGTGAATCAAAGATAGTAGCAGCGACCAAGGATGAAGGTATAAACGATCTGAAGAAAAAGATCAGCAAACACATTGAACAAGAAGCAAGACTTGGAGCCCAGATTACAACGTTACGAGAACGTGTTCTTGAACTGGTTAGAACGATTGTTGAATTTCTTGGACTCACCGGCCACCGCACCAGAAACCTCACCCAATATGGATATGATTCTGAACCACCCTGTAGATATCCATAAAGATATACACATAATTATATATGCACATATAGACACGTTTAGACATAAGATATAATTTATAAACGTTCCCCTATCTTGAGTCACTATTTTTTAATTATTTTTAGGAAGCTCTCTCAAGGGAGACAGAAGAAATGCAGATAAGATATGAGATATCTCTTGCCAACGCTAAGAAAGATGTCGTTAACAAGGTGAATATTGTTTTTAAACAATATTATGTTTAAAAACATTTAGATTAGAATATTGTACTATTTTCGGTCAGATATCGGAATTTTAATTTGTTGAACGATTATTTGTATAAAAACTAGATAATTTTTCATTGCTACTGAAGAAAGGCGATTCGATAACAATCACATTACCTCAGGAAGAAACCTTGGAGGGTTTGAACTCGAAACTGAAGGCAGAAAGTGATAAACTATGTGAAACTGGTTCCAAGATGAGCAACACACTTACTGAGCTTAAGAAGTGGCAAAACCTGGTACGTTTTCGCTTCCGCTGGGAGTTGTTTGTTGTTATGATAGAAATCAATTAAGCAGTACACTTTGAACTAGATGTCTCACTACAGTATTAATTTGCGAGGTGATTCACCGTCTGTGATTTCAGTGAGGCCAATTCAAATAGCCAACAGAGCACCAAAATAGATAAGCAGCTTTTGAATTCTAGCAACATTAATAACCATTCACTATTATTTCACCAATTCTAATTTCCTTGAAACCCACCCCGGCCGCCGGTCGCCCCCACCCCCTCTCTCTCTGTTCTACTTCATGAACCTAACCTCCATGTCCCCAGTATCTGGATCTATCTGCCCGGATGAGGACATGTCTACAAATGGATCCAGCCTCGGCTGGTGAACATGACGCTGCTATCAACAAAATCGTAGAGCTGGGTACGTCTACTTTTATACTATAAAAGTGTAAATTTACCATCTACTTTTATACTATAAAAGTATAAAACGCACTGTATCACTGATATATGTAACACGTGACTGTTTAACTGCGTTATATAGTTCGTGTTTTATCACGCCACATTCTACCAACTCACTGCCAGTACCAGTACCAGTCACCAGCACAAGTTGTACCACAACCCCTGATTCTGGTGCTGGGGATATTTTCCAATAACTCTATTTTCTACAGAAATTTACCATTTAACATGCATTTAATTTATATTCCCATATTAGTTCACTCGCTAGAAGCAAGCAAAGAAAAGATAGAAAGCCAGGAGAAGAGCATTGCTACCCACGAACTGGAGTCCAAAGCGAACAGGTAGGATAATTAGCGAATAAAAGTTAATTTGTTCAAGTTTAATTAGTTAAGTTTAATTTATTTACGTTATTTCAGTTTTTGTTGCGTAGAATTAACGTTCAGACCAGTCGATTGACTCCTCTTCTTAAAATAAACACAGATTGCACTGGAGTAACATCACAAATATGATCAACAAAATATACATACAATAATTAATTTTAGGCTTACTTTCTAAAATGCAAAAAAACTCCCCAAAAAGAAGAATCTCAAGAGGATATAACCCATTACGTTCGCAAACATAACCCCAGTATAGTATGTTTAACCTGAGTCTTAAAAAGTAACATCCTATAATAAACACAAGGATTAAGAGTAGAATTAACAGCCACACACACCACGTACATGATAACCCAACTGTAATCAGTTAGAAACACCGTGTCATAATAATCACCATAATCTACCCACATATCACGTGACAACAGTGATACAGTTGCTGTTAGCAACCAGTAACCATAGTAACAGTAGTTGATAAATACAGGGATGTTGAATATAATGTAAAGCATGACTACTAGTAGTGTTGTGGTGATGGCTCGGAGGAAATGCCGGCCTCGACCGAACAGCCGGGCTTTTTTCCGGCAGTGTCGGAGTTTCAGAACTGTAACCAGGAAACAGAGTATGATAGGGATTACAGGAAGTCCTAGTTGTAGAACTGTGAAGATCTGCATGGAGTTAAACACTAAGTTCTTCTCTTTTGTATTATCAGCAGACAAATAACAGTAGTTGACTGAGGAACTGAAAACAACGTCCATTTCCTCACTAAAATAACACAGAACAACCACAACTCTGAGCAGTATAAAACACGGATAACTCACAGAAAACACGAATAGTTTCCGGATATCCAGCTGTTTGAGAGGGTGACACATGGTGACCATCCTGGCGTACAACAAAACAGCAACACACGCTACACTCAGCGAGGGTAACACCTCCCACAGCATCCCCCAACCATGACAGAAACTATCACGTGACAACAAAACTGGGTGACGGGACGAAAGAAAGGATTCAGCTACGGGGAGGATAGTGAGACATATCAGGAGGTCAGTAGTGGATATCCACTGGTAGATGCACCTGAAATACCTTCTGTTGGAGGTGGAGGGGGTGTGCTGGGTGCTGAAGAAGATGACGGAGATGGTGTTGAGGATGGTGCCGAGTACACAGCACACACAGCAGAGTGCACCTAGGAGTATGTCTGCTGTTCTGTTGTAGGTGCGAGGTTGCTCCATTGTGGAGGGAGTTGAGCACTGAGCAGCCTAAACTGGGTGCTTCTGGTTATATTGTACGTTAAGAAAAGTGGTAATAATATAATGCAGGAGTGACCAAAATAAATTCGTTGCACATCATGATTTTAACCAGAACTTTAACCATTAAAAAGCACTGCATCGGATGAATGTAAGATAAAATACGGCACAGCAGATCATAATGAGCAATAAGTACTTCAACAGAGCGGAAAATGACAACCCTAGAATATAATAGTGTAATGTCACCGAGCCATGAGGGACAGTGGTAGCACAGTGTTTCATTTCGGTCTCCAACCCTGAATGTTTTCAAGGGCACCTGGTGACAGTCTAGGATCACCTGGTGATGGTGGAATATCACCTGGTGTTACTGACTGTAGTGCAGCTTCACATCTCTGGGTCTTGCGACCCGTGAAACTGATTACTGATAAGATAATTGTGTTAAATGGTTGAAAGAGTTGAAAGAAAGTTCATGTGGGCGTGTCGGCAAAGAGTTGTTTGGTGTTGTGGAGGTAAATACGATATTATTATCATGAAAACTGGCGTTATTAATTCGTGACAGACTTAACTCTGAGATATAAGAATTAAGAAAATCTGTTAGTAGTACCATCCTGTATACCTTATCAAGACAGTAATTAACTTACGATCACCAACTCAACTACTCACTTATAATTTATTATATACTTTAATTATTATTAATAATTATTTTAATTAACATTAATTATATGTTTGGTTCAGAGAGACGATAATGAGGTTGGTAGCAGAGTGTTCCAAACAGAAGGAGCAGACAGACGGCCAGAACCAGACCGTGTCCCTGCTACAGAAAGTAAGTCATAGATTAAATAGTGGAAATTCATACCTTGCACTGCTTTTTTTAGATAAAGTAGTGGAAATTCATACCTTGCACTGCTTTTTTTTCTGAGGTGGAAGCTTGGAATCAGCGTGCTCGTTATTTTTATTTGTTTCATATAATCTCAGTGTGATTGTTACCTGCACTTGCAGTTATATAGCTCAGGTAAAAGTTGATATCGTTATTGCAGATATTGTAAAATATTAACATGTTCATCATGACTCGTACTAGAACTACGAAAACAATCATTCTAACATATAACACCCTTTTCTACGTGCTCCCTGGCCCTGATCCCCAAATCGTAGTTCACTAATAATACCACCAACCACCCCCTTCAGGAGAGAGATATGACGCTGGTTACGAAACGGGAACTGGAAAACGAATTAACCGAGCTTAACAAACGGTTATCAGCCAGTTCTGCGGCTCTCCAGTCCGTCAGGTTTGGAAAACAGTGAACAATTCTAATCAACCCATAATCCATAATCCTTTGTTTTTTAGTGTGATTTTAGAAGATGATAAATGATAATATGTAACTGCTTTGATCATAATTTTTAAGTGGTTCGAATTCGTGTAAAAATTAGCTACTGTATAAGGTTACGACGCTTTTCATAATGTCATATCTGGTATCTGCTTGCTCTATATAACCAGAGTCCTTGCGCTTGCAGTAGCGCACGCCCGCAATCAGCTTGTGACACAAGCGCGCCCTTGTATCACGTTGTGACACCCACGGTCGTTTCACTAGGTGACGATACAGGGGGAGCCGCGCACTTCGTGCGCGGCGGGTCATACAACGTATGACAAGCGCGCCCCCAGTGGTGCGAAAGCACATGGTTAGGTGAAAGTATCTGCTATACTCATAGTTGACGGATGTTACTCGTCTAAATTTCTTCGAAGTAGCGCCGCGCTACTTCGAAGAAGAAAGCAGCGCGCGCTACTAGCGCGCCGCTTTCTTCTCGAGGCAAGTGCGCCGGGCTAGTAGTAGTCCATTAACAATGGACAATAATCATAGTCATTAGCTACAAAATATGGCCGTAACAGTCATTATTCTATAAATTTACTGCACTAGCGTGAATACTGCCTACTATAACAGCTGAACAGTGCATAAAGTAACTATTAATTAACTTTCAATTAACTATCAACTAACGTTCCTGTCTATTCCTAGAACAAATTTAAAGAAGAACGAAGACAAGATGTCAATGTTGAACATAGCACTGGACACCCAGACAGACGCAACTAAGATGAGCGACCTCAAACACTCCCAGTTTATTGACACCATCTCTTCCGTTCTAGGTCAGATGTTTATACTTTATATTGTTATTAGTTTCAGTATTGTGTCACGTGATCACGTTGTAAATTTACCAGGCGCGCCTATGTTCTATGCGTTGCACTCGTTTAGAGTTTCTTCAATGTGAAGGGAACCGAGCAAGTGAGTAGCAAGCTAGGTAAGTTATAAATTAGAGGTGATGCTCGTTCGTTTCTTTTCATTTAACACTAGCTAGCGCTGACTAAAAATTGTCGATATCTAGCGCTAACTTCTTTTTCTTCTGATTGGTCAGCATCGACTGAAAGCCTTCCTTTCGGCGGCTTTCACAACGCGTCCCTACACCCTATGTCTCCAACTCCTGCTGCTGGAGAGAGAGACTCCAAAGGTATATAATATAAATATATTAAACATAGATATCGACAACAGACTCCGAGAGTCTTGAAGCTCTGTTACCACCACCCCTGGAGCAACCCCATCGGGTTAAAGGGGAGGTCATGGCCTGATATGTGCAACTCGTAGGAGTATGCAGTGTTCCTGGTGGGTGTTACTTCTAAATCTGTTTAACGGGATTGTCAAACAGTTGATACACCATTGCCTAGGTGTCTTAGCGGAAACTTGTCTCTGGCTCTCGCTTATATGTTTATATCTTGAATTTTGAACCGTCCATGAATATTGCTAAGAGTGATTCCAATCTGTAACGTCACTGTAGACCGCTCCTCTATCCTTGTTTTGAGTTTCCGATCCAGAAACAAATCCTCAATCCTGGTGTTACACGAGAAGTGGTAGCCTGTGAGCGTGTTAAATCCTGGGGTTACACGAGAAGTGGTAGCCTGTGAGCATGTTAAATCCTGGGGTTACACGGGAAGTTGTAGCCTGTGAGCGTGTTAAATCCTGGTATAACACGAGAAGTGGTAGCCTGTGAGCGTGTATACCGCTCCTCTATCGTTGTTTTGAGTGTCCGACGAAAACCAAATCCTGGCGTTACACGAGACGCCTGTGAGCGTGTTAGTTTCCTGCGGAAGGTGTTAATTGCCTGTGGGAAGAGCGGTTATGCTGATTGCTGCTGTTCTAAGATTATAAGTAGAGGCTATTAGAGCCTGTCCTTTATTGTAGAGATGGCTAGTCCCTTCCTTTGCACAGGTTAGAAACACCCATGTGCAATGTACCTCCCGTTCGAGCCACCCACCCCACACCGCGTGGAGGTTCGGTGAGGTTTTCTTGGGGTAACTAGCGCTATAATATAGCTATTGCTAGCTATCGTGTTTAGAGTTATACTATCGCAAAAGAACCCTTTTCTATGGTAGAATAAGTTACGAAAGTCGATAAGAACAGTTGTCCACATTATTAAGTAACCTTCGTTAGGTTACTATCTTAGTTAAATATATGTCACACCTTTGTCATATTATGTTGCAGGAAAAAGATTCCCGTTGATTTCATCCCATTAATTTAAAATATAAATGAAACATTATTTTCTAACTTTTTTCAATAATATTTAAAATTTTAAAACTATGTGAATTGCACAAGTTTCTGAATCATTCCAAAGAATAACTCTTAACGAATTTAGCAAAACGTGAACGTATTCAATCAACACACTTCACTGACGAAAACATTTTTTACTGAAACAATCATTGTTTTTTATGTAAACAATCTGACCCCATATATAATAATGTCCTCTATATATAACAACATAGTACAAATTGAAAACAAATTCTAAACAATTTAAACATGATGACATCATCGATGCTATAGCAGTGATGCACGCCGCCGCCGGACGCCGCCGCGCCGGCACATTTTCACACGCCGCCACGCCGATACCTCTCAAGTCGGCGTGGCGTGAAAGGAAATAGAAAGAGTATGGAGCCAGTCGGGGTTGATTTTGAACTCTAGGAGATCCAAATTGTCCAACGACAATGTTAAGAATTTGATTTTTCTTAAATATAATTGTAAAAACCACCAAATATAATTGTAAAAACCACACTTATTACATCATTATTTCATGCACGCACGTACGCCACAATTTTTGTGGGCCTGGAAATTCAAACCTAAATTTTAACAAAATTATGTTCCACGCCGCCGAACGCCGCCACGCCGGGCCATTTTGGGCACGCCGCCGCCGGTTGGCGAAAAATGAACCGGCGTGCATCACTGTGCTATAGAAGGTCATAGGTCACGTGATGACTATATTTACTCGCCAAGGCAGATGGTACGGACAATTCTGTCGGTAACGACGTACGGGTCAGCGTTGCTGCTGGGTCTTCGGTCCTAGGTGGAGATAATTTAACAATTAGTTACTAATGAGTCAATTAATCAGTTAATTAACTACTTAGTATTAATAAATTAACTGATTAATTGAGTTAGCAAAACCAATGCTTACTAATATTATGTTGCTATTGCTAGTTGCAACTTGCATTGTATATCACTATAATACAGGGGACATGGTTTTTGATTTTGTATAAATTCATGCGAACAATTTGGGTTTTGCTTCGCCCTTCTACGAATCCTAAACATCATATCCAGACAAATTGATATAATATTAATAGCACCTTATATTACATTATTTTTGTATAAATTTGTATTGATCCCGTTTGATGCGACAAGGAAAAATGCTCTTGTCGCATCAAACGGGATCAATACAAATTTATACAAGAATACATTGCAACCATGCGACTCATAAACGATATTCCAATCCGGATTTTACATTATATTATTTATAAGCATAATTATATTAATCATTATCTGTATCATATTACCTCAAAGTATCCCTTTCCGTCGGCTGCAACCTGTCGAGGAATCCTAATACTCGCACCACGATGGGCCACGCCGAAGTTGAACTTCTCAAAGCTGAAAGACAAACAATTATTTAGATTATAAAGAGGGGAGATTGAAGATTCTAACTATAAAAATTGGGAATTTGGATACTTCTTGTTTCCATGACATAGACAGCATCAGGGGCCTAATTAACATTCTATATATGGGGTCGAGCTAAGCTAAACTAATAAAGTCTGCCATCGTTTGCAGAGGATATCTATGGACTATGATCGATATTCGATATAGTATAAGAGGCATAGTAGGTCCGTACTACCCTCGATTCTCGCCGTTTTTATTAAAAGCGGGGTATTCCCGTATTCACACCATCTTTATACCTTGTTCCCCTTGATCTTTCATCACAGTTCATTTCTTCTAAAGTCATTTGTCACCTCTAACCCCCCTTATAGAGTTAGTGGGCTCTTTGATGAAATTACCGTTTCACATTTCCGGTGAAGTCTTTGATATGGAAGTCTGGGAGTTTATTTAGCGGTCTCACTATATACTGGAAGGTTGAGATAAATGGCATACTGTATATTCTGGTAGAAACGGGCAAAAATAATGTCCTACGATGAGACTTCAGAGTGGTCCACTGTTTCCAAAATTAGTTAATGTAGACTTAAGATGATTTCTAAACGTATTATGGCCGTAGAAGTGCCAGGGGCGACTATCAGATTTCTGTGATTATGCAATATGCAAATGATTACCCTGCAGGAATATGATCATATGATCATATGATCATGATTATGATGAGCAAAATATATTTGTGGAATGTTAAGTTGTTGACATGTTGAGAGTAAATAAAGGCACACGGAATTTTCAATAGGGTGATAAGCTGTTGAGAATGAATAAACGCATACGGGATTTTTAAATGAGGTGATAAATCGTTGAGAGTCAATGGACACACGCGTCTACTGAAACTGCAAATCACTAGAAATTCTTTGTAAGGTCTGCGAACACTAAACATAGTACACTTTCTCTCTCCTTTTGGAAAGAATACTAAGTGCTCCCTCTTTTCCACTTTACATCATTTCTCATTTCTGCAAGTCTAGTGGTCCCCACCTAACATTCCCCCACCCCCCAACTAATCAGCCCCCCCCCCCCCCAACTAATCAGCCCACCCCCGGCCCAATCCCACCCCCACCCCCAACTAAGCAGCCAGCTCCATTCCCCCTACTAACCTGGCTGTCTCGTGGAGTCCAGTCAACCTCCGCTTGTTATCCTCTCCTCCTGATGGGTCGTAGTCGTGGATATGCTCCTCGTGCTTCTTTCCCATTAATTCGATCGCTTCGTAGATCTTCTCCAGTCCTCCTTCCTCTCTCATCGCTAATGTGCTGTAGGAATGAGTTATGTGAGGAATGAACACACTTGCAGGTACCACCCGTTTTCACACTCAGACCTGAGTTTAGTCATTTTCCTATACGAGATTGGGGACGGGTTCTATAAACAAACAAACAGTGAGGAATGAAGAAAATTTTATGAACTGGAAGAGATCTAATTATTGATTAATTTAAGCAGCAATACAGAAGTTTCTGGAAACGATTTGACACGAGGACAGTGAAGCAAAAAATATCAGATCGGATTATCTCGAACAAAATAAAACCCGACCAACTGAATTTCTGACCTTTGTGGATTGGAAATAATACAAATTATAATTAAACTGCAGGAATAACTTATTCCCGAAAGAAACATCTCGCCCATTAAAACCAACCTGATGTTCGTATGACATCCCGCGCCGTTCCAATCCCCAGGAATAGGTTTAGGATCGTAGCTGATAACCACGTTGAACTCTTCCGCAATCCTCGAAAGTATCCATCTGGAAACCCAGAGGTGGTCACCCATCGTGATACCTTCACAGGGACCTACTTGGTACTCCCACTGAGGTGGAGTTGGTGAGGTGTCTTTTTTAAATCGTTCCTCAATATTTTGAAAAAGTGTGGCCGTCTGATCGTGGATCAATGTTTTACAATTTCGGAGAGCGGAGAAAATAGATTGATTTATACAGCTCCAGTGAAATTACATTTTCAGCGACAAAATTTCTAGATGTGAAGAAAATAGGATCAAACTAGATTATCATACCTGAGAAGGCATGACCTCGGCGTTGGATCCAGCGATCATGATGCCAGCGTACATACAAGCTCTGTAATGAGCCTCCACGATCTTCCTTCCTTTTACTTTGTCAGATCCAACACCGCAGTAGTAGGGGCCCTGAAAGTGAAGTGAAAGTGAAATGGACAGTGAAAGTTTATAGTTGTATTTCCATGGTTTTCTGATGGTGGGGCCTCTTTCCGAATCCGTCAAGGATATGAATCATAGCCCAAAATTAATATTGTTGACCTAATTTTTTATCGTAGAAACTGAACCAATCTAACACCAGATCAATCCCACACGAAACTTTCATAATCGTGGTACGAAATTTTCGACCAAAAATATTTTAAACCACTTCAAAATGTCGCGCGACCACGAAATAGCAGTCGCGCGACTATAAAGTAACTGTCGCTAACCTGGGGTCCTGGGTAACCGTTGCTTGGCCACCCATACGGCTGTCTCCCAGTGAAATCAAACATGGTGTACTCCTGTTCAATTCCGAACCAAGGTATGACCTCCTTACACTTCTCCATGTTCTCAAAACAGCTGCGTCGCTTGTTGGTAGGATGGACGTTACCCTCGTGGTCGAGTGTTTCACACATAACGAGGATGTTGTCACCACGTCGGAATGGATCCCTGGTGAGTGATTGTAGGTGAGCTGCACTTGGTTGTAAACCACACTAAAGCAGGCAATCATAGTGCACCGCATTTTGCAACACTTTTTAACAGTGTACTCTCAAATAAAGTGCCTGGTGGTGAGTAATGAGTAAACTGACTTGAAGCAAGCGACCGGCTTGATGTAGATGTCACTGTTCTGTCCAAGGGACTGCATAGTGCTACTTCCGTCAAAGTTCCACACTGGCAGTGTTTCCGGATCCATTGTGGGCTCCATCAGTGTCTTCGTTTTACCCCTGGGACATTATTTGAATTATTATTAAATATGATTTTTTGTTAAGGATTTTCCTGAGGGGGTTCAATCGGCAATCCTCAGTATTGAAACTCGCTGCTTTGCTGTGTGGTGGTCACGTTATGTAACGACCCTGTTAAAGCTTTACAAATTTCAACATAATATCGGGGGTTTCGGTACATCAGGGTTATACTGTACATACCTGAGTCCCTCTCCAGTACCATCAATCCAGATGTAGTACGCCTGACACTTTCCTCCCTGGTCAAGATCCATAAAGGGGTTCGTCAGTCCATCAAGCCCGTCCATAATGCTGATATCAGTCTGGGTACTTAGTAACTATTTTGTGATAGTCTATTAATGCTTTTCATACAAGTTACAACAAAGTCTTCATGTTATGTAGCCTGGGTTTGGTTAAATAAATATATTTCCATCACGATACGTCGATACATGATACTCAATAAATGTAACAGATTTGTAGTGTTTTTTTGGAGTTTTTATGGTAAATAATCTTAGCACTGCAACAGATGTAACTTCTTGGAGTCAAATTGAAATTTCGAAAAGGTTGGGGTGAAGTAATAGAACATAGTAGAACTGATAAACTAGATAGAATCTATTAGTTTAAAAGAAAATATTACGTATTATTGTAACGGCAGGCTAAAACGAGATAAGTTATCGCTAAACAAAACGACCGATAAGATAACAACTTTAACGGATTATCATTCATTAAGAAATATATAAAGATTGTTGTGATTGGAGTAAATGCAATATTACCACATAATGTAATTCAACGAATCACCCGGCGCCTTTCAACTCAAACTTCCTTAGTAATAACGTTTGAACTAACAAACAAAAGACCACGTCGTCGATAGGTGCTGAGTAACTGTTGGCACCACGCTGACTGCTGGTTTATATACCGCCTCCTTCAACGATCTTATTTGATTACGAGGTGAGAAGAGATCACGTGACGAGGTGAGAAGAGATCACGCGTCGTGATTCATGCCAGGATGAGTTGGGAGGAAAGTAAGAGTTCTCGGATGTAAAAGTAATACTTTTATTTGGCTGTACCTGGTATCAGACAATTGTGGCTTTCCAGAAGATTAGTAACCCTATTTTAAAAAACTCGTATGTGTTTATTCATTCTCAACAACTTAACATTCATCATAAAAAAGCTCGTATGTGTTTATTCATTCTCAACAACTTAACATTCATCATAAAAAAAGCGCGTATGTGTTTATTCATTCTCAACAACTTAACATTCATCATAAAAAAAGCTCGTATGTGTTTATTCATTCTCAACAACTTAACATTCCATAAATAAATATTTCCCGTCGCAGTATGATCATATCCCTGCAGGGTAATCCGATTACCCTGCAGGAATATGATCATGTTATGATGAATGTTAAGTTGTTGAGAATGAATAAACACATACGAGCTTTTTTATGATGAATGTTAAGTTGTTGAGAATGAATAAAAACGCAAAGGCTTTTTAATAGGGTGATACGCTGTTGCGAGTCAATGGACACATGATGAAGCTGCTAGACACTAGAAATTCTCTGTAAGGTCTATGAAAATAGTACCCCTCTCCTTTAGGAAAGCAAACTAAGTGCCCCCTCTTTCCCCCTACTCTTTCCCCCTACCTGGCTGTCTCGTGGAGTCCAGTCAACCTCCGCTTGTTATCCTCCCCTCCTGATGGGTCGTATATAACAAAGAAACATAGTATAACCGTGGCACTATATCTATCTGAACTCGTCTGGATTCTTCAGAAAAAAGCTTTTAGATTATAATCTTCTCGGATCCCAGTCTTATTCCAGAGAATTTCCTCGGAATATGGGATTTTCCCGAGAAATCAGCAGGTTCAAGCTAGGTTGAACGTGGCAGGTTCAAGCAGGAACTGATAGTGTTACTTTCCTCCTAGAACTCATTGCTACCTTCTAAGACATCCTGACGTGATCTCTTCTCGCGATTTCTAGGATAAATCTCAGTATTTTTCCGGAGAAATCTTCTGAAATCTTAAGACTGGGATACTAGGAGATTGTAATTTGATCATGAGGTGAACTAGTTTGTTTAGAACCTGGAATGGAAGAATCTATGAGCCAGTCTAACTGGCAGTCTGACCGTCTTCAATTTACCATCACAGTGATCACACACGAACACAATTGGATGGAAACACAAACCTATTCAGTATTCAAGGAGTTCTTCAATGTTTGTAGGTAATAACTTAATAAGCGCTGAGTAATGAACAAATTGTTTGTTAGAGTCAATAAGCTAAGAATCTATTAATTCTAACCGCCCCTCCCCCCTCCGTAATCAGTTTTACATATTACTATTGTGTCGAAATTACACTAGCGTGATCATTTGGAAACCCCACTACCCCCCCCCCCCCCCCCGGCTGATTACGTAACATGTGAACAACCCCTATAATATTAGAAATAAAAACCAGATCGGACTGGATAAAGATCAGCCGGATCAGTGAACAGACCGGATATCTAATTCTGATCAGCTCCCCTTATAGTTGGCAGCAGAATGAATAACAGAATGATAAAATGTTGTTTCAATATAAGAATACATAACGTTTTAAAAAATAAATGGCAGATATGATAATTAAATCTGAACTTTAATTTATAAGCGTGGCCAAACTGTTATATTCTTCAGAAATGAATGAAGGATCATCTCTGATGAATCCAAAAAAAATCTGCTGATAAAAACAACAACTCGACTATCAGTTTTAGTAACTGTTCAAATGTGAGCTCTCCACCGAATGCTTGGGCTTATAAGCGCGCCAAGTAAGAGGATACCAAGTAATTACATACTGATAGTGATAGTTGGATAATATCCGGTTGGAAGAGACAAGGAAAAATGAAACAGGAAGTCAGGAATGTAGGCAAATTTTCGGCGTCAACGCCATCTTCAGGCTCAAATTATTTGTTATATAGTAGTGTTGAAAGTATTAAAAAGTAATTAGATCGCCAGACGATGGTAACCGGTTTTGAGAGTCCCCGATAAATTGCTATTCTTGTATTTAATTGATCTGCAGTATACTTTAATTGAATTTATTCTGCTCGAGTCCAAAGCGATCACCAGCAGACAAAATACGGGTTGCTGATCTTTCTTGGTGGGAACTTTGTAATTACGTCACAGACCTCGTTAGTCCTTGCTCCTTATAACAAGCAGAATTCAAAAGTCGAAACAGCTACCCATTTTGGTTTTGACTCATCGAGTCATCGAGTAACAAACAAAATCCTCTTCATTTAAAGTCAGCCACCCCGACGCGACCACAGTCTACTCCTTCAAAATAATATAGTTCACAAGATACTGTGGGAAAGAGTGAACTTGCATCGCAGCTTGTTTATCTAGATGTGTACCGGTATACGTTCCGCTTCCAGCTCAACCATCAAGAAATGGTTAAAAGGATCTCTTAGCATGCTGTAGTATTAATTTTTAACTGAACTCGCCCAAATTGTTCTCAATACTGAATTCGCCCAAATTGTTCTCAATATTGAACTCGCCCATATTGTTCTCAATACTGAACTCGCCCAAATTGTTCTCAATACTGAACTCGCCCAAATTGTTCTCAATACTGAACTCGCCACAATTGTTCTCAATACTGAACTCGCCCAAATTGTTCTCAATACTGAACTCGCCCAAATTGTTCTCAATACTGAACTCGCCCAAATTGTTCTCAATACTGAACTCGCCCAAATTGTTGCCCTCAATACTGAACTCGCCCCAATTGTTCTCAATACTGAACTCGCCCAAATTGTTCTCAATACTGAGCTCGCCCAAATTGTTCTCAATACTGAACTCGCCCAAATTGTTCTTAATACTGAACTCGCCCAAATTTGTTGATAGATTGTTGGTTTTTATATATACCTAAAATTGTGAAAAATTGTGCGGGAAGTTCCAAATTGTGGGGAAAAGAGCGGTTTTTAGTGCAGATGTGTGAGAAACAGCTAGTGTAATTCCGCACCCACCGCAATCATACGTTCCATCTGATTGACGTGTTCGTATGTGATTGTCAATTGAAAGCGGTTATCAATGAGAACTCAGTTCCTCGCATACCTCCAGGAATCAGAAACGTGGTCTGGATTCTTACATTCCTGGTATTCTAAACAAAGTGCCTGATCTTATAGTCAGATTATAGTCTCCTCGGATCCCAGCCTTATTCCGGAGAAACTATTACGGTAAAGTTGGTTGATTGTTCCATAAATTTAAGAATCCAGATCAATCTGCCTGAAATAACAGGTATGTGGGGTGAACAACCTATGTGATGGTCAATTTAAGCCGGTAACCAATGAGAACTCCTCACATACGTCATACCTTCAGGCTAGGTACAGTGGTCTGGTATTCTAGACAAAGTGCATGATCTAATAGTCAGATTATAGTCTCATTGGATTCCCAGTCTTCAGTCTTATTTCTGAGAAACTAGTACGGTAAAGTTGATTGTTTGTACCAGAAATTCAAGAATCCATATCAATCTGCTTGAAATAACAGGTTGATGTATGTGACTCAGACTTTAAGTTTAGCTAATTGGAAAGAAAACTGTAATATTGCTTATTTCCCGGAATTTACAGAATTCCGTCTAGTCTCAAAGATTGAAGCAAGGGGATTCCTGTACTGGAGTGCGACACGTACCCTAATGCGACACGTACTCTAGTGCGAAAACCTCCAAGATCGACAATGTCGCACTACAGTACGCTACCTAGACTGTAGTGCGACAAGAACTCATCGTGACCATTTATATGGCCCAAGCATATAAACTTGTTATCCCAATCAGAGATATGTCTTTATACGATGTGGATCATTTGGACATGGCTTGAACCGACCCGAGGAAATTGTGATCACCTGCTGCTTACGACTGGATCAGTGGATCACTTCGAAATACGTGACGTGAGCCGACTCGACGAATCACTTAATGGTCCATAAGAAGGATAGGACCTGACCTGAACTTGGAAATATGACAGGATCTGGTGTCGCACTACAGTACGCTACCTGGAGTGTAGTGCGACACTTAACACTAACTCTAGTGCGAAAGAAGGAGGTCATCGTGACCATTTATATGGCCCAAGCATATAAACTTGTTATCCCAATCAGAGATATGTCTTTATACGATGTGGATCATTTGGACATGGCTTGAACCGACCCGAGGAAATTGTGATCACCTGCTGCTTACGACTGGATCAGTGGATCACTTCGAAATACGTGACGTGAGCCGACTCGACGAATCACTTAATGGTCCATAAGAAGGATAGGACCTGACCTGAACTTGGAAATATGACAGGATCTGGTGTCGCACTACAGTACGCTACCTGGAGTGTAGTGCGACACTTAACACTAACTCTAGTGCGAAAGAAGGAGGTCATCGTGACCATTTATATGGTCACGAACACCAGGGGAAGATCACTACGAACACCACGAACACCAGGGGAAGATCACTACTACAGGCTATCAGCTCCAACAACCTAGCGATCTGTAATACAGGTAATACACCCACATTTGTAGGAAAATTAGGACATTCTGTTATTGACCTCACACTTTGTAACCAACTAGGCCTTAACCTTATCAGAAATTGGAAAGTGGATAAAGGTAAATCCCTGTCTGATCACGAGGCCATTACTTTTACTCTAGGACTAGGGGACCGGGTTAGCTTTGCATCACGTTCATCTTCTAAGTGCGACTGGAAGCTATATAAGGAGCTGATAGCATCTGAGTTGGAGAGACATCCGTACTGGTTCTCACCAGTCACTGCAGCGTCGGATCTCAATGCTCGACAGCTTTTCTTCTCTGACATCTTGCGGAGAAGCTTCAATGCTGCCTGCCCTATTACTCATGGTAACATTCGATCTACAGTACCATGGTGGACAGCGGAACTTACTACAGCAAAGCAGACAGCTCGAGCCCTGAGACGTAAAGCTAACCGGACCAGGAATAACCAAAACTGGGAACTCTCCAGGGATGCCAGCAGGACATACAAAAAACTTTTAACCAAGGCAAAACGTACAAACTGGAAACAATTTTGCGATAATCTTAAAGGTACTTCAACCCTAGCTAGGGTACATAAAATCCTCAGCTTTAACAAACCATCTCAGGGAAACCTTAACAGCCTCAGGAAACCGGACGGAACATTAACTGACACGCCTCAGGAAACACTAACACTCTTGAGCGACATACTCATCCCGAGCGATGGTACAGGGACAATCCGGACGCCATACGAAGGAGGAGATCCAGAAACCATAATCCAAATCACAGCTCCAAACAGAGTTGACAGGGCAGTTCGCGAACTTCAGCTCAACAAAGCTGCAGGACCGGATGATATAAGGAACGAAATGATACTCAAAGCTTGGGACCACATTAAAGATCCAGTCCGTATGATCTTTCACAACTCACTGGCACTAGGAATTACTCCAGCATCCTGGCATCATACCACAGGTTGTATTATACCAAAACCCCTCAAACCGGACTACAGTAACCCTAGGGCATTCAGGATAATCTCACTAACATCCAGTTTCCAAAAATTATTAGAAAGGCTCATACTCTGGCACCTTGAGTTAGACCTTAAAATTCCAGCTAAACTCACTAAAAACCAACACGGTTTTAGGAAAGGTAAATCTACGGAATCAGCGATCCACCTGTTAACCCGCAGGATCGAAGATGCGATGGCAACAGGGAACTACGCTTTAGGAGTGTTCCTAGACATTGAACAGGCTTTTGACGCAGTCAGCTTCACAGCGATCAAAGGAGCTCTGCTGGAAGCCAACATCCCTCCAACCATTTCAGAATGGATCTACTTCATGATAAGTAACAGGCACATTACTCTCACGTATTGCGAGTTCAGTATCACTAAAAAAGCTACTAAAGGTAGCCCTCAAGGAGGAGTACTGTCACCACTATTATGGAATCTAACTCTTAACACCTTCCTTAGCAGCCTAGGGATCCACAATAACTTTATACAGGCATTCGCAGACGACTTGGTAATCCTCGTACGAGGCATCTGTAAAGTCACGATCAGAGACATAGCCCAGCAACAGCTACAGAACATCAGCAACTGGTGCACGAGCAAAGGATTAAAACTCAGTGGAGTCAAGAGTACAGCAATCCTATTCACCACCAAACAGGACAATAATCTAGACTCCCCGCTAACAGTTGACGGAACTACAGTTCCCACAGTTAATAGTACAGTCTACCTAGGGGTTACTTTCGACCAGAAACTTAATTGGGGTACTCACATACTTAAAAAATGTGATAAGGCCATAGGACAACTTCACGCTTGTAAACAAGCTGTAGGAAAAATCTGGGGCATCTCACCGGCGGGTGTGAGATGGATCTATAACCAAGTCATTCTCCCCTCACTAGGTTATGCAGCGATAGTTTGGCAACACTCAACAGACAGACACTACATCTCTGTCAGACTGGAAACAGTTCAACGCCAAGCAGGTCTCATGATCACTAGAGGACTGAAAAGTACTCCCACTCCTAACCTGGAGATCCTAGCTAGAATCCGTCCCATCAGCCTTAAACTTAAATCTCTAGCAATTAAGTCGGCAATGAGACTTAAATTACAAGGAACATGGAATAAACAGTACCATTACAACCAGCGAGGACACTGTAAATCACACGCTTACAACGTCGAGAAAATGATAACTAACATAACTTACACAGGATGCACACTTCAGGACAATATCCCCAAGGTTACCATGCTGGACAGACGTTTCAAGGTAATTATACAAGAAAGGAAAGCTGCCATCAACTACATCGATAATCTTCCTCCCTACATCTGGCAGATCTTTACAGACGGCTCGAAAGCAAGTGGAATTACAGGAGCGGGATTCTGTGTCATCAAAGCAGCACAAGAGTACCACAGAGTCAGCTATCAACTTGGCACGCTGGCAACAGTCTACCAATGCGAGCTCTTTGCGATCCACATGGCAAGTATCTGGATCAATGATAACATAGGGTTAC